AACCATACTCGGCATTTTTTGGGATACAATATGGAATAAATATGATATGGCATAGAGAACCAACATCATGATATTTTGAAGGTAACTATAGACCAAGCAATAGGTGGGACATATACGTATATATAATATACATATATAGTGTATATGATATACCTCTAAGGTATTAAAGGGCATGTCAAGTAACCAGGTTGATATGTTTTTCAACATGGAGGGAGGTGTATTATATGTAATATGTAAATATATAATAAGATATCAGGTACAGGTACTTGGTGTACCATACTCTATTATATCATTGATGTTTGGTTTCCAACGCTTGCGTCGAAACCCATCCCATCAGCTACTCTCTGCTAATTTAGCACTAGCTATGGAACATCACTATATTGAACTATTTTGAATAGGTAACTCATCAATGGGCCATTTTTGCTGTGTTAAATTACCAGAAGGTAATGGTTAGGCTTATTCAAGAAGAAGCTACCAAATCAACAAGCCAAAGTTGTTCTGCATGCATAGAGACTTGCACTCTGTTGAAATGGACGTCAAACGCACAGCAACATGCCATTCGCAAAAATGCCGAGTACCAAAGGAATGGCAAAGAGCACAATGTGCTAACTTCCCTCTCAAAATCCTTCATACGTCATTTGGTGATTTTGATGCCTTTTTGAAATGATTTTGCAGGAAATCCTTATGTCATTCTCCTGGCTTTTCATCCATAAAACCAGGAAATTCCTAGCTGTTGGCCCCACTGTAGATGCATGGTATCACAGTTCATTGGCCACCGTTTTGGCCAATGATTTTCGCATCGCCGAAATTGATCCCTTAGATCCAATGCTAAAACGGATGGTTTATAAGGGAAAATCCCATTAAAATGGATGATAAATGGGGTACCCCCATTTTAGGAAACCTCCATATAATAGGGGGGATTACATTACTAGCACTTTTTGTATCTGATCACTTATCACTGGCTCACAGGGCGCCAGGGCAGGCGCGCTGCCATGCCTGGGTTTGGCACCTTGCTGCTTTGCTGATGCCTGGGGACAACGTGTGGAAGCTACCAGCACTAAGTGTGAACATATCATATTTATTGATATGCATGGGTTTATTTTGATGTGGCAAACCCAATGATAGATTCCAGTTGGGGATGGTTTCTACAAGCCATTTGCGGTCACATTGGGTACCGGGATGTTTTTGTTGGTTGCCAAAATAAAAAATATTTGGAGGTTGTATATACCATCAACATGATGAAAACTCCATGTATCATTCATTTGGGCCATAGTCAGTAAATATGGACAGGACATGTATATATTGGTTGGTGGTGTCCATGACACTTTGTTTAAAATCCTAAATTTGGTTGGATGTAGAGTTTTGCCAGCTGTAAAGTTTTGCCAGCTGCAGGGCACCACAGTGTTGCATGTGACTTTGGCGGCCGGCACTGGAATTTATGATTGCAAAGGCGATGGAAAACTCAATAGTTTGCCCGTGTTCATTGCTGATGGCTGTTATTGCCTGGTTTCTTCGCGGTTCGAACAATTGGTTTGTCTGAAAATAGGGATACCCCCAAAATTCCACGGGTTTATCATGGTTTATTCTCAATTTCCCATTGTGGAACATGGCCCATTTATAGATGATTCATATTGATTTATGATGATTTACCTATATTAAATGCTGATTTTCCAGTTCGCAAAGCGTTAAATTACCAGAGGGTGTATCCCTTTTTTGGATCCAAAGCCAGATCTCTGAGGAGAATGTAGCGTGGCTGGTGGTTTTCCGGCCAGTCCGTGGCCATCTGACCTGTGACCTGGCTGTTGCTAAAGTGTTAACGATACAAACCAGGTTCGCCTGGGCACTTTGGTGCACTTCAATGTGCTGTCTGCAACCGCTGGCCACCAGCACGAGAACTTCTACTACCCTGTCTCTCTCTCTCTCCATAATATATATGTATATAATATTCAGTATTTGGAGTAATTGGAGCTTACAGCAAAGATGGTTTCCCTAGGCCCTACTTCATGCTTCTTAGAATTAGAACTTCAGCATGTTGCTTTTAATATGTCTTTATATCTCCATCATCATGGTCCATCGGGATGCCATGATCACCTCTGGAGGTTCGTCCCATGGCGCGCTGGTTGGAACTGTGCCTCTTGGGTCTGCTGCCAAGTTGGGCGGCCAGACTGGCTGCACCCACAGGTCTCAAGAAGGCGGTTTGCGAATGCCGGCTGGGTAATTTTCCAATCGCATTGGGGAAGAGTAGTAGCATTGGGATGTTGGCTTTGGCATATTTATCATCATTTGTTAAATTACAAACTTAAAGTTGGAAACAGTGCTGTAAGATGTTCAGACCCACCCCCAGAATACACCGGTTTTCTTTACAAAGAACACATGTCAAGATGTTTGAAATGATGTAGCCAGGCAACAACAATGAGAATCTCAAAAATGAAGCACCCGATAGTGTAGCCAATAAAGAGGAGTAAAGACACATTATTTTGGAATACGAACTGATCAAATCCATCCAGCTGCATGAGAGAAACCTGATGTGGACGGACGTCAACCCAACCACACGGACGCAAGTGGGGATTAGGCGAGTCCTTAAGTTTGAGAAAAACATATGTTTTTGCAACCGGGTCAAGAACCGAACGTGTAGTCGTGCACATTTTGCATATTGTTGTTTTCGTCCTGGTCTCTTCCAAGCTGTTTGAGGTGGGGTGAGGTGGGCTACAATAAATGTTCATGTTCACACGCTCACGAGGTGGATGCTGCGTTGCTACCATCTTTTCTTGGGAGGTGGGGTGGGGTGGGATGGGTGGGATGGGGTGGGCTGATAACTTTCATTTGCACTCCCACACACACACATACACATGTCATGCTATACTCCTGTATGTTCTCTTGCACTTCTACACAGATGTCATGCTACGCTGCTGTACGTTCTCTTGCGCTTCAACACACACACACACACGTCACGCTATGCTCCTGTACGTTCTCTTGCACTTCCACACAGCGTCATGCTACGCTACTGTACGTTCTGTGCATTTTTTTTTATATATCGCGCAAAGCAGCCACTTTTTTTGCTCTTCACCATGGCGCTTCTCGCAGCCCGGTGTGTGGACCCATGGTCTGTGACACCGAAGCCGTTCAAATGGAGCGCCTATGCCCCAACCAAGGCAAAGTTTCCAGAGAAGACGAGGCAGTTTCTAATTTGACTTCGGAGGACAGACTTCCAGAAGTCGTTCCTCTCGCAGCATACAGTTGCAACTACGGCACCTAGCTGTCGGGAATGCGACAGGGGCCAGTGGCCCAGGAGTTCGTGAGTTTATTCCGCAATGACTTCAAAGTGGCTGCCATGCCACGCTTTCTCCTGCTGTGCAACATGTCTCAGACTCAGCCTTTTGTTGCGCCAGATGGCTTTCTTCCATGCCCATGTGGGCTGGTTGTCACTGCAATCCGCATAGTCGGGGAGGAGCTCAAGACTTTGGATGCTGCAACCCTGTCCCCTGCACAGAAAGATTTGTTGGATGTCTTCGAGAATGGGATTCGTGTCGAATGGCGGCCAACAGATTCCTTCATTCAGTAATTCAGTATGTGATTTTCCAGGAAGCTGCAGCCCAGCAGTCTGAGAGACGTACGCAGGCCTGGCATGGACATGGTCAGGTGGCAAGGTTTTCTGTCAGTCATGTGCTGTCATGATATGTCTTGGTCTAGATAAGTTGCAGATAGGGAGCGGTCGTCCTATTAGCTGATGGACGCTACACTAACCCAAGCTGCATGACATAAAATAGCATTTTTTTCGCCTGCTCTGGCGCAAGGTGCATCTGGCAGAGTCGGTCCTCAATTTTGTTTCGATCAAAGAGAAGATGGGTGAAGATGCCGCGCAGGAGTTCTACAGAAAGTTTTGCGCAGCGGAGACATTGGCAGTCGACGTTTTCAGGATTGCAGATATGTCTTGTCCAACGTCAGCACAGAGACTTGCGAGTGTTTTTCCCATCCTTTACGTGTGGTTTCAATGCTTGTCCTGTTCCTCGTGTCTTTTGTTCTTCTATTTTCTGACAGCTGCTCTTATGATATGATGTAAAAAGACTTCTTAGCAGAGCTTCCAGTGAGATCAGTTGAGTTGCTTCTAGTTTGCTGACGTCATTGTGCAGAAGCTGGCGAAAGTCTCGTGATGATTTGTTGTTTTTCTCCTCTCTGCACAGCACAACCTGTGACTCCGGAGGCCCTGGTTGAACTTGTGTCATGGAGACGGCGTGCGAAAGTCCTCCACACGCACGTCAACCTTCTCTTGCACTTCCACACAGACGTCATGCTACGCACCATCGACTCAATATGGACTCAAGTGAAGGAGTCCATCCTTTGCAGTTTGAGCTCCAAATTCCCGCAGATATCTACTCACATTCGATCGTTTCAATGGAGATTTACATTCGTAGAGAATTCAAATTTGCTGAAGGCGCGCGGACACGAACTGTCTGAAGGACAAAGTGGAGAAAAAGGAAAAGATGCGACAGCGCGCGTTTGATTTGTCAAAACGTGTTGGAAAACGCGATTTCTCTAAAAACAGGTCATTTTTTCAAGGGCTCCAAATGATGAAATTGTCGTCTCGCTAAGGGAGAGCACAGAAACCCGGAAACGTGGTGGAATTACGCACATTTCGGATGATTCATACAGAAAACATTGTAAATACATGTAAGTACCATGGTTGGCACAAAAAACGAAATTGCAAAATCCACTCACCGCCGCTTTCCATTTCCGACCCGGCAAGACGTTTTTATTGTGGGATTCCTTTTCTACCGAACTATTTGCCCATGGCCATTTGTTTGACCATTTCTTAATTGCTGCGCGCTGTGCAAAATAGACTTCTGTGGGCCACTACAGTAGAAGATCAAAAAAAATGTAGTGGAGCGGCGAAAAATATCATCGCCAAAGGTTTCTATATATTTCCATTGATGAGTGGTAACCCCACAACTCATTTCGACATCTAGAAATCAGATCTGAAGGTCTGAAGGCGAAATTTCCCAATGCAGGTGGTGTCGTTACTGGAGAACATGAAGCAAGAACTGGTGGCTGAGGGAGAGCAGGAACAACAGAACTTCGATAAGTTTCTGGGCCGTGAACCGAAAAAAACAGTGATTCATTGGGCAAAACAAAAATTATGTGCTGGTCATTTTCAGTGTAGATGAACCTCATTTTCGTTGGTACCCTAATTTCCACCAAGAAACGACCATATTTACTCATGTTTACCATCATTTGCCCACGTTTATATATATATATATATACTTATATTTTGCCATTGCCAAGCCATATCCACTCATATTTTTACTTGCGGGAACACCCCAGTAGGCGGGTAACAAAACAAGTATAGCATTGTACAAGTAAAATCTATTAAACACTACTTGTATGTGGAATATCTCCAGGAATATCCCCAGTATTTTAGTGTATTTGTTTCTATATGGGTTATAAACCACTCACGCACTGGGTTTCACTGAGAAAATGGCGAGATGCATCCGTATTTAACCATAGTTACCCATATATTTACCCATATTTACCCATGTTCACCCACTAACCAAGCCTCATGCCCCTTCCCTGAAAAGAATGTGCCTTCGAGGTTCAACTGCTACTGCCAGAGCCAGCGCGAGTCGCTGAGCGCTGAGCTCAGCGCAGCTGAGAAACGGCTGCCGAGCCTCCTCTCCGATGCTCGGCGACGTCCGTATCATGTTGGGTGACCGGCGGTGTGCCGTGGGGGCCAACCCTTTCAAGTAGCATATAATGAGATATTCAAGGTGCAATATTATGTGTTTGTATATATATGTATATATATATATTATAATATTTGCCATGGTCAAAAGTTTGTGATGTTTTCCCCACAAAAGGGGATTCTCATCCCATCAATGATGGTGAGATGACCAGAGCCCACCACATTTTCACGATGGCACACATCAGCAGTGACCAAAACCCATAGAAATGCAAGGACTGGGAACCACCTTCAGATGCCAATTTGGGTATAAACATGGGTAAATATTATGAACATCTGGGATATAGCGGGGATATAACGGGATATAGACTAGATGTAAACCAAAGCTAGGTTTTTGGGTCCCATCACAACGAGCCCCATTGATTAGGGTCGGAATGTGTTGGGGTGGGGTTTGATCAACCATAGTAGCTAAATAGTGCCCAGATAGTAGGGATTTGATGTGGGATTTGATGGGATATGGTTGAGTATGATGTGGTATATGCATATATATGATATATATAAAGAAATTATTTCTTGGGTTTGTCCGAAAATCGGGATACCCCTAAAATGGCATCAGATTATTAGTTAATATTGCTAAAATACCAAATTGTTGGATGGTTATTCGATGGGCAATTGAACCAACAAAATATCCTGTAGTTTTAGCCGCCAAAAAAAATATGGGATTACATGCCATTGATCCATGATCAGAGCCGCCAACATAGGTTGATGGTCATGGAATCCGTAATCTTGTCCGAGCTAACCCAATCAAAAATCAGAGTGTTCACAATATCAGAGAACAAAAACGGGTGGGATTGAAATCATTCCCCAATGCTAGGTGTTTGGCCTTGGAATGCATCTCACAGAAAACCCGATTCCCCTCTGGGAATCAAACGTGGCGACATGTGGCGACAATCCCCCTTTAAATTGCTGTTGAAGTGGGAAAATCACCTTGAAATGGGGACAGTTTCCATTGCCGGTCCCAAATCTCTCAGGAGACCGAAGCCTTAGAAGCCTCCGCGGTGAGTTTGGAGGCGGAGCTGAAGAAAGATTCCAAGGATCGCAAGGAGGTGCGGCTTTGAGGGTGGAGGTCTTGGAAGATCAGGTTTTTGGAAGATATATCCAACAAAAAATGGGGGGGCAATATGTCATATTTAATTATATATATATGTATGTATATATAATATATATTATATATACTATATATTATATATATTATATTATATATATTAGATACACTATATATATTATATATATATATTATATTATATATATAATATATATATATATATATAATATATATATATATATAATATTATATATATATATATATTGTAATTTTCAAATGGATAGTTGGGTGACGGTTTTTGTCGGGCTCCAATGCGGGTAGTAAGGGAATTTCTTGAATTTGAAGCCGATGTTTGCAGGCAAAGTGTCACTGAGGATACAAATAATATAGACAGACTGCGTGGCATAAAGGCGTCCTTCGAGACTAGATTTGGTTGGTGGTTTGAATGAAGGAATCATGAGGTATGATCTACCTGATTACCTAGTGGTTTCGGGGGATTCTCAAACCCAAACCAGACCAAACACCACTGTACTTGGTCCGTGGCTTCACAATCAACGAACATATACCCAAATCGGTTAATTATGGGTATTATCCTCCCACAAAACGGTGCACACACCGGGGCTGATTGTTGATTCACCTTCAACTTGCGGCTTCAAAGTTTGATGATTGTGGAGAAAATGGACTCCATTTTTTCCAGATGATGTTCAGTTGCATGCCTTGGGTATGGCTCAAATGTCTATCCAGCTTGTTGGTGTGATCAGAAATGCTTACTGGTTTACCCTGTGCCGATCAAGCCTGACCATTTCCTGATCATTGAAAATTCTGAAGGTATAAATGACTACCATCCCCGTAGCCAACCATGTTAGCCAGGATTAGAAACAGGTCAGCAAGCGGGGTCATAACATGTTCCAACCCTACTATAAACGGGAGAAGCCGTCAAATCAGGGGCTTATGAACCACGGTTCTTAACCAAATAAGAGCTGGGATGATCCTTCATTTAGTAGCTGGAAGCCAGTTTCATCGAGCTTCCAGGTATACAAGAATCTTCAACAACCAAGCTAGTTCTTATATGTTCTTATACCTATTCCTATAATTTCCTATATACGAATAAGATCTAATAAGCATTTACATATATTTCAAGTGCCCGGTGAAGAATTTTCCCAGTCACACCGGGGGTTGAGGCCACAGAGGGAGCCGAAGAAGTGAGGGAGTTGCGGGAGAAGACCAGTCGGGCTCTCCCAATGGGATTTCAGTTGGACCTTCATGGGGATTCTATGACGATTTAACCATCAAATAACCATCAAATAACCATCAAATAACCATCAAATAACCATCAAATAACCATCAAATAACCATCAAATAACCATCAAATATGGATATATATGGAGATATATGGAGATATATGGAGATACTTTCCCAATGACCTGGGTAATTTTTTGCAATTTAATGGGGATTCGACCGCGGTCAGGTGAAGCCGCCAACAATGTTTGGAGATGCTGTTGGGCTAAAGAGTATTCGCTCAAAACACCAACAATGAACCAATCGATTCCAACGGGTCAGCCGCAACGGGAGCTAGTTCAATCCCCCAGGATTTTGGTGCTTGAAATTTTCGCGAGTTCAGTGGAAGGTTTTTTGAGTTTTTGGGAATCCTCCTCATGATTTGTGGACTTGGGAAGTAATCCCTAAAACCCCGAGTTGAGTAAATTGGGAAAACATCCAGAAACAATGGGTAAAAATTAGGCAATTTACACATCTTGGGACCCATTTACTGTAGGTTTGGTGTTGGACGAATATTTTTGTATCTACTGGCATTTTTTCAGGATAGCCCAAGTCAACTCCCAATCCAACCGGGTGATTTGCAGGATCCAAAAACCATTTTTCACAGTCTCGTCCTTCCAGCCGCATTTTTTCATGGTGAGTACCTCATCTTTCGAGAAACGTCGGAGCTGCAATTTATGTCATAACTTCCCCTTGATACCAGCCCTTAAAATATCCCAAATGTTGAAACCCATGTATTTTAGCATGGCTCTCCTAATTGAGGAAATTGTCGTCCCCTTGTTTGGTATGTCTTTGTACCCTTTAACTTGGCGTTCTGTAACTTTTGTCTTGAGGGTAAGAATCAGATAGTTCCTAATTACGGGGGCAAACATTGTAAAGAAAACGCGGTAGAGATGTAGAGCGCCATGCTAAAATATAGTTTTACTAAAAATGAAAACAACACCATCCAATGGTATTTGCTTGTTCACCCCAAGAACGGAAGTGCGCAGTCCACCCCACTTGTAAGTTGGATAAAACGTGGCACTGTCCAGCTACAACTGGGCTGAGCTAACCCACAAACATGATTCCTTTTTAGCGTTTTTCTCTGGTAGTCAAACATGGCAATTGAAACAAACATGTACCCTCCGGTAGTCAAACATGGCACTGGAAAATCCATCATTCATAGATTGTTTTCCCATTCAAACCACATTAAAACTAAGATGTTCAATTGCCACGCGTGCTTACCAGAAGGTAAATGGTACCCCATGATTATTCGACTACCAGGTCAAGAGAGCCGAGGAAGGCTCCAAGCTCTGTCGAAGAACTTGCAAGCCCTGGACAGCGCCATAGGCGCAGTCCAGGGGTCCTCGTTGAGTCGACCTCCAAGCTTCTCATTTGGTGGTTTCCATAAATGGGGGAACCCAAAAATGGATGATTTATAATGGAAAATCCTATTAAAATGGATGATAAATGGGGTACCCCCCCATTTTAGGAAACCTCCATTTGGAGCCCTTTGTACAACCTCCAGTTTTGGCTTCATCCTGATTTCCAGGTTTGCTGCGGCAAGGCGCAAGCTTCCTGCAGATGCCAACCTTGGAATTGGAGGAGGTGGTAGAGACGCACCTAAAGCCAGAGGACAGGCGAACTCTGGGAGGGCCCGTATGGCCGTTATGGGTCATTGATCCAGCAAACCTCTCACAAGTTTGTAATCCACCGCAGACAGAGACGAATTATTAATTATATTGAACGAATCTTTTTTTTCCAGCAGAAGCCTCCTCTTGTCGCTCTTGTTCCATCTCCTTCTCCCCAGGCACCATGGTTTTGACCGTCTAGAGGTGGTTTTGTCAGCTGTAGGACGCGCGGACACAAGAAGTCCTGAGTTTTTTGGAGGGTTCCAGCGAGGGTTCTCCTATGACGAGTCTGGTTTTGGGGACCCTCGAGTCACTGCTTCTGGGCTGGCGTGGGTGCGCTGGGAGAAATGGAGCCCGAAAAGATGGGTAAAGATAGTGGTTTCCTCTGAAGGAAGAGCAGATTTCTGCTTATGCGATTTGGGGATCCCGTACAGAGGTGTAGGTTGGCTAACCAACAACCATTTGGATCATGCTGCTAAAATACCCAAGCAAACTGAGGATTTGGCCAGAAGCATTCGTGGCCTTCACCAAGCAGCAATGGACATTCACCATACTGCCCCAAAAACAGTGGCTGAGTAGGTCCCAAAGTTGTGTCTCAAAGTCCAAACGCGGTTCATGTCGTGTGGTATTCTGCCAACAAAAATGAGACACCTCCGTATTCAAATCTTATAGATTTGCTTGACATACTGTCGCAAGTAGACAATGGGCATTTCTGGTCAGGTTTGGGACCTCTGACAATTGACCCAACAATATATAATTAGGATATGGTCATATCATGACATATCCACCACTTTTGAGTTGAGTTTCAACCAATTTCAGTATCCCAAAAAACCAACAAATCTTCATAAACCTTCATAAATCTTCAACCTCCAAGGCACTTTCACATATTTTCACATCACCACTGTGCGACTTCAGGAAGGACCAGCTGCAGCAAGACTACGACGAAGCCAAAGCCGCCCAAAACCTGGCCACGCGCGACTTCGCAGCGCTGATGCGCTCGAAGACGGGGGAAGGCCGCTCCCTTCAGGCGCCCGGTGGAGTCTTGGAGGTACAGGTAGTAATTGCTACTGTAGCCATGAAAAACATGCACACTTCTAAAACTTCCAGTTCATATAACAATTATTGAATGAATAAATACATATTATATTTATTTATATGTGTATAATTATATATACAGTACATAGTAAGACATATAAAGTATAGTATAACATAATTATATACTACAATAGTATGTGTATAACTGTATAACTGAATTACATACATATATATATATATATACCTAGATAATATCGATTGGAAGTGTTTTGTTATTCACACACACACATATATATATATACACAATACAAGGTTGATCAGTTGATGATTGAAAGGGTTACGACCGGGAACTGGGTCGCCCATGAAATTTGGGATTCAACAGCATTGTCCGGTTTCCAAGTCATATGATGCGATTGGGGATGAATTTATATATATTTATATATATAATTTATAGTCATTTGCTATATGCTGATAGCATGGAAAGCCAGTTTGTTTGGATGAAGAACTGATTGGGAATACAAGCCTCCAGGCCTTTGACAGGAGCTAATGTGGGCATTTCCCAGACATTTTGGGATGCATGTGATGTCTTTTCATCGCGACTGATTCTTGTTCTCCGAGAAGTTTGAACAGTCCAATGAACCGATTCAAAGGCACATTTGCTTTGAAACGAGAGTCCCTGAAGATGAAATCAGCAAGACTTTCAAGTCCTTTCTATATATATATACATGTGTGTAGATATATATATATATATTATGGGGGGCTGAAGTTGTGTTGATAACGGGATGACGTTCATAAAACAAACCGTGGTGAAAGTGTTTTTGTGGCCACAAAAAACGGCCTGATGGTGACACGATCCGTCGGAGGAGCAGCTGGGGAAGAAGTCCCAACGTCTGGGGGATTTGAAGCTACGCCTGGTGGAAACTCGAAAGGATGCTGCTGAAGTGAAAAAGCTGAAAATGGAGAACTACAAGCTCCTCTCCGCAGCTTAGTTCAAAAGTAGTGGCACCTGGCTGGCACCTGGCACTGCCTGCCACCATCTTCTAATTTTTTTTTTTGAGGTTTTTTATCCAAGTTGGGGGTCCTAAACCCTGTGAAGTTCATGAGTCGGGGGAAATTCTTAGGACCTGACCGAGTCCTGCGACCGCCAAGCGGCCGCCTGGAAGCAGCGTTGGGCCGTCCGCGGCGACGAGCTGGCGGCGGTCTCGGAGGCCTTGGAAGAAGTGACGGCGTTCCAAACGGCCTTGGTGCAGGAAGCGGTGACTCGATGATTCAAAAACGGAGAGTGTTTTCATGGTGAGTTCATGGGGTAGCAACGAATTTTTGTAGGGATATAGTATTACTTAGTATGGGATGCAACTAAGATAGATTATTAAGTTATTTTTTTGGATTCAGTTCTTTTACATATGGGGTATATGATGGTATATGGAGATGGGTTAAAAGATGTTAAAAGTTGATTTGGGGCATGAACATCTATTTATATTTGCCGCATTTTACTACCTTCCTATGTTGATGTTCACCATAGTAGTAGGGTTTTGACCATCATGTCCACATGCGCAACTGATGTTCCAGTTCTCTCAAAGTGAATAATTAGGGGGGCCAAACGAATCACTTAGTGTAATTGAGCCCATGAGTAGGGGTGTAAGCGTCGACTTCCTTGATCTTCCTTGAATCTTCCGATGAGTTCAATGCAATTGAAGCTACCCATGGATCACCGTGTGTGTGGATACTGCTACGTGGCTGGCCGACATGATCGGTTCACTGCTGTTAGGTGATCCTTTTGAGATATTTTTGATACCCCAGAAAATGTGAGCAAAGACCTAAAAGATTCATGCAGAACCTCTACATGAGAGGTCCTATGGTTAAAAACGTGTTGCAAAACATGGAAAGCGATATGGTGAACTATTTAAAGCGATAACGTGACTTGATGGTGAAGTTGAAAGAAAGGTATTGTTGTTTTTCGCAGCCATTTGGGATTGTATAGTAACCTCGTATGCATTGTTTTTGTATTCGTCGGACAAGAGTCCGGGGGCTCCCTAAAGGCCTAAAGGCCTAGAGGTGCTCCCAAAAGGCCTAGAGTACGCACTCCTGATCACAGAACATGCTGCTGGAAAGCAGAGACTGTGCTTGAGAAACAGTCTTCACATATTTCATGATTTTACCAGAAGAAAGTATCGATAACCAAATCGTTAACCTAGCGATAACCAAAAAGTGCCAAAAGGGGCCCTGGGCAGCCAGAGACCCAATCCATCCCTGGAGTGGTGCACTTCAATTCTGCGTCAAGTCTTGAAACATCTACTTGGCGTGGCCCATCTTGACCTAGAAATTTTAAACCTATCATAAGATAGCTTTGATCGAACGATCCGAAGAGGTGAACAGAATCTGCAGAAGCAGAAGGCACGCAACAGTGCAAAAACCAAGCTGTTCTGAGGGAAACCTTCCGCACTTTGAAGACAAACAGTGGGCAGCAGACTGCTGACCATGAAGTACCCCTGTTGTTGATGCGGAGATGAATGGAAATGGATCTCTAAATCAATAGCCGTAGTTTGACATGCTACAAGACCATGTAAAGCGATAGAGCGAACTACCTAAAACGATAACTTTTGCTCATGACCGCCTTTGTGACCCTTAGTTTTGATCCCAGCTCATGTGGATTACCAAGATATAGTACCGGACGAGGACCTAGAGAATTTTGGAACGTCCATGTCTACCCCACTTTGGGACTCCAGCAGCCTCCAATAAGGTGAGCTTCCTTCAACTGCCAGCGTTGGCCAATGCGGCCGCGCAGAAACTCGCGGGCCTGGGCTCGGTACATCCGCGAACGCAATTCATCATGCTGGCGCTCAAGGGAAAGAAAATTGGCAGCTGGAGCTACAACAAAAAGCATGATTTTTGATGTTGAATCTTGTGTTGATTTCCATGTAAGTCTATTTTCAAGGTTTTGATACCAAGATACACCGAGACTTTTACTGCTTGGAGATTATATGTCCAAAATTACGTGCTTTGTCAGGCACGGATGAAGTGATGCGGATGATCGACAAGATGGTTGAGAATCTGGAGGAAGAGAAGACATCTGAGGTGGGGAAAAGTGGAAAACTGTGACGCTGTGCTTGCCGTTTGTCTGAAAATAGTGTTCTTTCTCACTAAAATGACCATATTTTGGGTGTATAACCCATTCTTAGACACAGACACACACACACAGATATATATATATATATATATATAAGTAAGCATTGGAATGCAAAGCAAGCCGCGTCATCGAGACTCCATGGGCTTGAGAGAAAAAAAAAATATATTTATGATATATTTATGTATGTATGTGTACTATTATATATAGTTGTTTGTATATATATATATGTTGGCGGTGGAACGATTTCCATGAAAACTGCTGAACATTTGAGTTAATTTCAAGCAGATTTCCTTTTTAGTGGATCTCTCTTTATGTGGTGAGCTGGAAAGTGTTTGCGTGTGAGACATAATATCAATCAATCTGTTAAAAGTTAAAACCCCCGGTGCAAGATCCTCAGCACCAGAGTTGGATGGACAATGTAGATTTGCATGTTTTTCGCCTGAGCATACATAGAAGATCCCTGAAAAGAGTTTGATGAAGACCATCTCCCATACCTTTCCCACCAGTGTGCGCGGTCCATGGCGGTCCGTTTGAATTCTGCCTACCAGGGACGAGCTGAAACCACACATTTTTTCAGGCGCAGATTTGAATCATTTTGAGTCTTAAGCATTCTTAAGCGTCCAGCGATTGTGGTATCCACTGTTTGCCCATACCCTGTTGCTCATGCCACGCAGCCTTCACCGAAGAAGATGTGGGTTTGTGTGAAACTTTGGTACCCCCAAATTTGATGGTTTATCATCGTTTTACCCTATTCAAATATGCTGTACATATCGGGGTCAATCCCTCATTGCCAGACACACCATGTCGAAACTTGTTGAACATGGTTATTGATAATGGTTATCTATCGCATACTGCTATGTCCCATTCTATCCAAATTATGTTTCGTTTAGCCCAATGTTTATCCCATTTTCAAACACAGCAAACCGTCGTGCCCTCTCGACGCTGTCGAAGGCGAAGAAGAAACAGAATTGCCGCGGAGAATATCGTCACCTGGAGAAACACCACGGGGTGGAGTTCTACTAATAGGTGGGTTATATAACCATAGGGCAAGACCATATTGTTTGCCTGGAAGGTTAGAATGGTGTTCAAGCATCATCCTTCGACATGCTCAAATACCTGCGCAGGACCAGTGTTTTGATATTTCCCAGACGACGAACCCTAAACCCTAAATTCTGAACTCTGAAACCCTAAACCCATCTAAACCCTAAAACCCAGAAACCTGAAAACTCTGAATCGCAAACAAAAAACATTGCGTATACCCAGTATTTTTTCAATTTCTCTTATCACGATCGACAAAAGGACATCCTCAATGTTGCAGTTCGGGCAAACCACCGGGTCTGTGCGTAACCATAGTTCATAGTTGTAGAACGTGTGGTATATCCAATGGACATCCATGAAGATGTGCGTGTCTGAAGCGGGACCACGGGGCATATCCGCAAACTAGACATTCTAGTGGGGAAATGATCAAGAACCAGTGGATTTTTGAGGTATCCAAGTTAACCAATGTGGTTAGACCCTTGCATTTTGCAGCATATTTTGGGAGTTTAAGAAACCATGTCTTCCGAAACATTTTCCTTCAACTTGTCTATAGACATTCTTTTATACCAATAGAAATGATGGGAAGGTATCCCGTTCATTCCCGTTAATCATCTCAATCAAATCCCGTTTATGCCAGCTATATACCTTTGCCCTCGATTAACTAGTTTATGCCAGCAGGGGGAAAACCGCGCCAGTAGTCGTGCACGCTTTGTAAAACACGCACATGCTACGTCACGCCAGGATACGCCAGGGTTTTGCACAGTGCACGTACAGTGCACGCGGCAGTGCGCACCACAGTGCGCGGCCACAAAACGCTGTAAATACCATGTGGTTAGCATTTTCTGGAATTAAAACAATATACACAAAATATTGTTTTTTTGTTTTTTTGATAATCTTTTGGGAAAATACGTGGTATTTACAGCGTTTTGTGGCCGTGCACTGGCGTGCACTGTCGCGTGCACTGTCGCGTGCACTGTGCGTGCATTGTACGTGAACTGTGCAAAACGCGATGTTTGTGCTCCCTTCTATTATCATCAGCAGAACGCTGCAATGCTGCTTCTGGAGGCGTGGAGGCACATTCTACATTAGTGCACCATGCAAGACACACAGCGTATGATCTCCAATTTTTGCCCACATGCGGAGCAAATGCTGCAATGTTGCTTCTTTGTTTGTGGGTAGCAGCTGTGAAGATGAAAGTATGTTTGGATTGGGTTTTTGGTAAATGCAAAAGGGAATTTGTTCAAGCTTGTGTTTGCACATCCATAAACCGAAATTTTTCCCCGGGTTCTTCAAAAGAAAGCCGCCATCCTCCTACATGTTGTCACATCACACCTGATCCCCCCGCGCCCCCTTGATCAATGTTGTTGCCCAATGCATGCCGGCATCCGAGCCGAAATGGTTGTGCCTGTTTTTAAAGCCTTCCAAGCAAAGCCATGTAACAACATTGAATCTGGGGAAAGGGGGCATGCAAGTTTCTTCGCAATGAGTGTGACAGGATGGCTGTTCTTTTTGAAGATCCCGGTATCTTATATATATATAATATAATGTTATGTAATAATAATAATATATATATAATATCAAAGTTCATATATACATATAATGTAAGGTTATGTTACAATGTGTTGTATATACGTATATGTTATCTTCTAAAATATATGTGTATACATTAGAAATCACATGTGTTATATATATATATGTTATGTTATATAATATATGTTTATATTATATACACGGTATGTGGTGTGATGTTATGTTATGTTGTATATTTCATACATATATATATATGTTTTATTTTTCTGCCAGTGTCCAGGAGAAACCGAAGCAGACAGCACATCCATTCATTCCTGGAAAGGGGTGTTTTGTATCAAGGAACGAATTAGAAATGAGACAGTTCTAATACACACAGGTGGAGTCGATGCAATGTGGTGGCGGCTGTCAAAATCGGCCATTCCATGTAGTCTCGCGACCAGAGTCAACAGCCAAGTGAACCCAAAATGCGAAAAATGCGAAGCATCAGGGTCTGGCAATGGCAATGGATGAACTCCAAGGCAAAAAACCTTTTGGAGATCACTGGTCGCTCTTTGCAGAAGCGCGTGGCCATGTGAAAGGAGGAAAACACCGCGCGAGTTTGGCCAAGCAAATTTCCCTTAAATTGCAGGAGTTGATCAAAAAATCAATGAAAAATCTTGGGGAATTTAGTCACTTGTTCTGGAATAGATCAATAGTTTCGCTCTGGCGAAAACGACATTTTTTCAAAACTCTCACAACCGCTGGCGCGGTTTTCCCCCCCGACGGGTAGTGTATCCCTGTGTTTATCCTTGTATTTTACCATTACTATCCATTACTATTTATTGATTAAATCTACGTAATTGATGGTTAATTCTCCCATATTTATTGGTCAACCTCCAGTTCTCTCCATGTTGGGAGGCTACTGACGGACCGGTGAAATTTATCCTACCTTGACTTCCAAGTCTTCCCAGTTTTACAATATTTATCAAATCTCCATGTTTGTCAAATAGTTAAAGACATCAACGCTATATTGGTTGTCCCAGAAACCAGCTGGTATACTGTAATCGTAGTTAAAAACGCGTCACATTAATCATGTTCCCATGGTTTCTTTCCAAATTTAGCACCAGGCCTGGTGGCTTCAAGAGAGGGCAGCCTTCAGAGCAAGCAGCAACAAGCTGAAGAATCGCTCCGCAGCTGGGACGTTTTTCAGCGGAGTTGCCGGAAGAATGGTTTGTAATCACACAAACAAATTTTTTTCTGACACATTCTAAGTGGGTGACAAGGGGTGATTTTCAACATGTTTTGTCCTCCAAGAACACACGCATATTATAACAGTTTATTGCAGTTTATAACCATTTAATTATGATATTTTACAATCATGTCAACACATGTCTCATGGTTGTTTTTAGCTCCGAGGCGATGTGCAGGAGCTATTCCTGCAGATGGAAGACGATTTGAAGCGAATGGACGGAAGCATTCAGGACCATTTTGGGGATGTGGATATGTGAATAGAATGGTAATATAACATCCATATTTAACATATTTTTGGATGTTATATTACCATTTTATCACCATTATATATATATATGTATGACAATCTGGAACATCTTTATGGTGATATAATGTGAATCTAATGCGTACCAGGCATTAAAACTGGGAGTAATGTTTGGCAATTCAACAGTTTGCCAACTGGAAACCATGGCCCATTTAGTTCGATGATTTAGCTATTAAAAAGGTGGATATTCCATAGCTATGTTAGTTTACTGGAGGTTCATGTCGTAAACCGAACACTGGACCATCTTGATTTTGCCAGAGATGGCTGGGTATTGCGTATTAAGCATCAAAAATTGGGAGTTTATTACCACATTGTATGGGGTTGGTCTCAGAAAGAGAAATTCTCCAAAATTAGACTGGCTTTCTATTTTTGTTTGGTCATGATGAACACTGAGGTTTTGGGGTACATAGGCACCCAATTTTCAGAGATACCGATGTATAGCAACCAACAAAAATACGATATTTTGGTTTGCCCCGGTGTATGTAACCCCATTTTGTGGCCTTTGCAAAATGGAAAAAGATGTCGATACACCAATGGATTTGAGGTGTACACTGGTTTTGGACAAAGCTATATAAATCGGAACACCTTGCCCACAAATCTTGGCGGTGAACTAGTGAAATTGGACCAGTTTTATTTGGGATTTACACAATTTGTGGAGCGATCCGCTCATGATCAGGAATGCCACAATTCTTTTTTTTTGGGTACGCGTCTCATCCATGATCACTTATTTCCCATGTTGGCACAAACTGTCATGGCTTGTTATTTTTTTTACTTCATCACCATCATCATCACCACCACCACCACCATCACCATGATCATCACCACCACCATCACCATGATCATCACCATCACCATCATTACCATCACCATCATCACCATCATCACCATCATCATCATTATCATCACCATCATTTAATCATTCAATCATTCAACAATTCAACAATTCAACCATTCAGCCATTCAGCCATTCAGCCATTAAGCCATTGAATCATTGAATCATTGAATCATTGAATCATCCAGTCATTCAATCATTCAATCATTCAACCATCAGCATCATCATCATTATCATAATCATAATTATCATAATCATCATCATCATCATCATCATCATTTATCATTCATTATCATTTATCATTTATCATGTATCATGTTTAATTTATCATTTATCATTCATCATCATTTATCATCTTTCATCTGCATATGATGGGAAAATCATCATCAGCACATTGTCTTCTTCCCATCCCAACGCATCTTCAGGAGTTAGACAACTCCGTAGAGAAAGCCACGGAGCTTCGCAACGCCGAGCGTTCCTCGGAGCGAATGCTGGACCATGTTGGACCGCTGGTGCCACACCTCAAAATTACGGAACAGTATGGGACAACTATTTTTAGTTCACTTTTTCAATTTTTCTAATTGAACTAAAAACCATGGGGCATGCTCCACCTTCAGACCAATTCATCCACACGGATTGCGGCAACATTGTGGAATTCTGAATGTTGGAGACCAATTTTGGGCGAATGGGTCAAAGCGTTGATCATCCCTTCCCACTGATCCACTGGAGGAATACTGGTCGCCATGGCTCCAGGTCTAAGTCACAGCGAGTTGAAGTCGCATTCCCTGGAGACTCAGGAGGGTGGTTGCGCAACGGATGAAGGTTTTTTTCCAGTCAGATGATGTCAGATGTAAGAAGTAGCACTGAAGTAGCTATCACATTGGGATGTAGCCAAGCCACTGGCGAATCATCATGAATCATCATTGGGATGAATCCTCTTGATGTGACCAGGAGATGTTGGAGAGCGCCACGAAACGCCTCGAAAGGACCTTTCGGAAACGTGACGATGGTTCCTTCTTAGAAGAGGCCCTCAGGGTAAAACGTAGGATTTTGGGGTGAAGGTGCATAAGATGTGCTTTTATTTGCATGAAATTTGGGAGTTTCCCATGGAATCTGCAGGATGTATTCGGGTTTTTAGGTTTGTTTCATCGCATTTGATTGGAGTTGTGCCCAATGCGATTCAGGCTTGACTTGATTCAAGTGACTATATATAATGACTGACTCTAAGTCCTGACTGCACAAACAAAATCCACTTGGAGCCCTTCTTCATGAGTTTGTACAGCACATTGCCAAACAAAAAACAAAAAATGGTGGATACACCATCATACACCCAATTTATGTCCATGATACAACAAATGGGCAACATGTCAAGCCCTGGGATGGAAGAATCACAGACACCGGCATTTTCAGACAAAACCCTATAATGTGGGAAAAACAATGCCACAAAGCATCCCCCAGTCATCACCATTTTATTGGTGGCATAAACTTACCATTCCCAGGAAAATGGGTGGCATTGTTTTAACTACATTAACTCTTTGGTGTTTGGTACAGGTGTCTTCCCGCTTCCACCATCGCCATCGCGTGACCGATGCCGACTCCGACACCTCTGCACGACTTGGGTCCAAGTCGCGTGCCCTGGGAGCGACTTGGGTTGCAGCGGTCGCCGCGAAAGACGACGACCTCCATAGATGGTCTCCAAATTGGATTGATTTAACAGCTTAACATGGAGCCTCTGGTTTAGCATGTTTTTTTTTGTGAATTTAGCCTCCCTCTGGTACTCCAAGATGACAAATGGATACAAATGGAACATCCATGAACATCCCCCAATTGTAGTTGATGTTCTGAGCTATAAACCTCCATTGATAGTGGATTTCCGATGGCCATGTGATGACACCGGAGGGTAACCATCAATCCAACAGTTACTGTCCTATGGGAATACGCTGAGAATATGATGGGAGATAACCTTTATATAAACAAATTAGCATAGAGTAGATACAGTATACGGAAAACACACCATTTGTAGACCATGTTTCTTGGGCACCATGGGTTTCCCATATCTATATTAATTTACCGGAGAGTACCTCAAAATCTCATTGGTTAGAAATCATTCTTTCCCCGTATGGGAACCCCAGAAACAGGTTTTAGACGATGACTTTCCCATTGAAACTGCTGGTTTCAGGTGGCTTCATGATCGTTTCCAGCTGTTTTGGGGCGTTCTGTTCCCTTAAAATCGGGAACCACCAAAATATGAGTCATCTATTCGGGAATACATTGGTTTGAAAGGAGGGCCAATCTATTTGAGAGAACGATCAGTGGCTCGGACCCTTCTTCTGCGTTAATGTTCCCGAGGGTTCAATTCACGACAAGATTTTCCCGCTTTTTGAAGCAAGTCGTGTGGCTGATTCAGTAGTCCAATGCCCAATGCTGTTGATCACTGTACTCTAACAGTTCAGGTGGAAAAAGGTTTGAAGCCGCCATTTAAGGGGTTTCTTAAAATGGTTGATCCAAAAATCACCATATACCATGGTCATCCATAGTCATCCATGACTTGGATGATTTAGAGGTACCCCTATTTGAGGGAAAAGAAACAGAAACCTCCATGAAACCCGGAAAAAACCCAGACTTCGCTGAGGTCATTGGGTTGCTTCAGCGCATCCTGGAGGACGCGAAGCTGGAGCTGAAGGAGACAGAGATGGCGGAGAGAAGAGCGGAAGCGGAGTACCAGGGCTTCTTGAAGGACCCCATTGCAGGTTGGGATCCCCTTGGCTCTTGGGGAAAAAGCAATCCGAATCATTCGAAAAAGATCTAAATTGTTGGTTTGATGCTTGTTGATGCTTATTGCCTGATATCTGGAAAGTAGTAGTTTGCCCAAAATAGATCAAAGTTGGCAATGGGAAATCTGAAGAATCACCTTGTGACATAGACGAATTTTCCATTGCCATGTTACGTCATGTTTGAGCAGTGGAGGGGGAACTGGCTGTGAATAGGTGGTTCCAAGCATTCGTGACATGCATGAAATGCCTATGGCTCAAAAGCTCTTATACTATAAATACATGTTTTTGAGATTAATGTCCATTTGCCAGCTATTTTGACTTTCACCAGAAGTACCGTGTTTTGTCCCTTAAATCTACCTGTCGGACCTGCGAGGACGCGGCCGCAAAACGGTCGGAGGAGAAGTTCGCGCTCGTGCAGAAGCGAAGCCAAAAGGTGCCGTTGGGATCCCAATATGCACGACGTATATAAAGCTTCCATTCTTGTCATCTATACATAATTCGGTACTCAACAAATAGTATCATACACATATAAAGTCACAATTAACCACATATTATCACATGTACAAGATATATATATATATACACAGTATATATATAAATATATATATCTTGTACAGACGCATTTGCACTTGGGTTAAGACGTGAGGTCTTGATATCCAGGGATTTCCCATTGCTATGTGTGACCGGAGGGTTTTTTTTCGCATGGAGGGTAATACGCATGGTTCATCAGTATTTAATCCATCATTTGGATCAGCATTCTAGGTTGCAGTAAACATGTATTTTCCTGGTTGACAGTTGTTCACGCGTTCATGTATGCTCATTTTTTCTTGCTTTTCCATCCTACTTGGGCTTGTGAAGCCAAGTTTATCTTTTGAGATGTGTTGAAACGTGTGGACACAAATTGGTCCAAGGGAGGATTTGATGGGAAAACCATGTGGGTGTTTCCTTTAAGTTTGCCCTTTTGTAAATCGATCTATTGATAGTCCCTCCAACCAGAGATTGTCTGGACCCTTCATTGATGTGGTCGAAGGCGACCTTGGCCGCAGAGCTGCAAAACTCAAAGGTGCTGCATGTGCCCGGGCAGCAGTTGGTCCCTAGTTGTCTCCAGATCACAATGTTGAGATATGATGATGATGATGATGATGGTGATGATGATGGTGATGGTGATGGTGATGCTGATGCTGATGGTGATGATGATGCTGATGATGATGATGAAGACGATGATGATGATGGCGATGGTGATGATGATGGTGATGATGATGGTGGTGATGATGATGATGGTGATGATGATTATGGTGATGATGATGATGATGATGGTGATGATGATGATGGTGATGATGATGATGGTGATGATGATGATGTTGATGATGATGATGATGACGACGATGATGATGGGTGATTTGAGCATCTGGAACCTATGAAGACAAAAAGAGATTCTAAGAGATGATTCTTGTAGCTAGCCTCACATTGGTCTTTGGGATTTTCACATAGCTATCTGAGATTATCTGGGATGATTTTCAGTCACCCCAATGAAAGAGTGGATTCTTTGGATGTGTTGAAAGCACCCAGCAGGGCCGTGCCCCGGCCCACCTGGACCCACCGGTTGAACAGGCTACCACCAAGAAAGAAGAGTTGGCAAACCAGGAGCTTTGTCAGCTGGACCCCCCAGGGGGTTTTCTGCAGCACAAAACAGCTGGCTTCAAAAGTGGGTTGCTGGATCTTTGAGGATGCACGAGTTTCAGGATTTCAAGTTCGCCTGTTCGCCTGTTTGCCATCTTGTCTCCCAATTTTTCGGGCCCCGGTGTGGGATTTCAAGCAACTTGTTTACTCGATATGTTCAAAAAATGCATCACGATGGTGCAGGCACACTTTGATTTTTTCTTTAGCAAATCGGTACTTGTTGGAGCTGTTTTAGGCACTGGTATTACTGGTATTACCCGCATCCCCAAACCTTGCATTGCAGGAATACAGGCTAGCTGTGGACAAAGACTGCGCCACGTGCTCAGAATCATCCCCTCATTTGATTAATGATTTGCCTTCGTGATGAAGCCTATAGTCTTGTGGGCAGAACAGGTGTCACGTACATGTTCATGAAGTAAATATATACATCATATGTATATTATATTATATTATATTTTACTATATTATATTATATTATATTATAATATACTATTTTATATTATATTATATTTTTATATTATATTTTATATATTATATATTATAAATTATATATTATAAATTATATAATATAAATTATATATTATAAATTATATATTATAAATTATATATTATAAATTATATATTATAAATTATATATTATAAATTATATATTATATATTATATATTATATATTATATATTATATATTATATTGTATATTGTATTATATTATATTATATATTATATTGTATATTGTATTATATTTTATTATATTATATTTTATTGTATTATATTATATTATATTATATTATATATTATATTATATATTATATTATATTATTTTATATATTTTATTATATTGTATATTGTATTATATTATATTGTATATTGTATTATATTTTATTTTATTATGTTATATTATATATTATATTATATATTATATTATTATATTATAATATATTCTATTCTATTCTATTATATTATATAATATTATATATTAAATATTATATTATATTGTATATTGTATTGTATTATATTATATTATATTATGTTATATTATATATTATATTGTATATTGTATTATATTATATTATATCATATTATATTATATTATATTATATTATATTATATATATAGTATATTATATATATTATATATATGTTATATATATATATATTAATATATATTATATACTTACAAATGTATATACACATTCAGTATAGATGATATTAAGTACTTTAAGTAATCACTATAGATACATTAATCACTATAGACTGTAGAGTGTAGAGACAGTGATATAGTGATATCATTGACAAGAAAACAAGATACCGCCTGCCTGAAAGCGAGCAAATCTTCTATGATTTCAAGGGTCACACAGGAATGGCTGCTTAAGAGCTGGAAAGATCGCGTTGACGCCCGAGATCGCGAAGTGGAGGTCACCGGAATTGGACCTATCGGTTGGTTGGTGAATCTTAGTGGATGGCCCCTTTTTATGACCGTTATACCAGGATTGATTTGGAACAAACTCAATGAATGAAGGGGCTGATCTGGGTTGAATTGGGAGCTTCAAACGCATTTCCAGCCCTTTGGATCCAACATATCCGCTGGCAGGCTTTGAGACAAGCTAAGGCCACCTTGACTGCCAGCTCGCAGGCACCCCTTGTTGAGGCTGTTTTCAGGGCCTAGATTTGGAGTCTCTGAAGAGGTTTCTGTAGGAAAAAAAACAGCAAGAACCCTGGAAATGTCACCAAAATCACCAAATTTGTTTCCGCTTCTCATGAATTCCAAGTAGCGTCACCCACCTGTTGCCTGATCTCCACATTTTTCCGGACCAGGAGCTCTCCCTTGCTTCGCTGGTAGTGATCTCAGGGGCTATGGCAAGTTTTGGTGCAGCTCCAAAGACTAAGAAACTGTTGAAACAGTGGGCTGGTCATGATTTTTTGGTGGATGATTTTTGGATTTTATGGGGGATTACGGGAGGTTAAAATTTGTTAAACCTGTGAAATCGCAGTTTCCTTCGGAAATTCATCTTCCAGAGGCCTGCGTTTTTTGATGGGGTTCATCCACATAATTGTTGAGGGGATTCCGACAACAATGCTGTATCAGGCTGTAACGCATTGATTTGAGTTTCTGGATGATCTGGATGGTGGTTTGGAGAATCGAGGCATCCATTCTTGGCGGGACATGTGCGGAGTATCCCAGTCTTGAGACCTCCCCAGTGGTTTGTGACTCGCTAAGGACGAGGTGCCAACTGGCAACCTGCGTGGTTCTGGTGTGTGAGAAAAAAAGGTGTGAGCCGAGCTGCTAGGGGGTCAGGAAGATTCTGGGATCTGCCATACAGATCTGAACAGCCAACTTGAAGCGACCTCGGCACTCTTTGAGTATCTCAAGGTACCATAAAGACCATAAAGTACCACGGTTAAATCATGTTGAATCCCTAAGAAATGCCAGAAATGATGGTGAAAGTACCATGGCTAAATCCCTGGCCCTCCTTTTAGGTGTTTCACCACAGCGTCTGAGGTTGGATGCAGCTGGCCTGGGTTGTGAAGAAGTTGCCAGGGCCTAGCGACGTAGCGGAAACGTCGCGGAAACGTCGCGGAAACGTCGGAGCTGGCTGAGAACGGTGTATCACTAGTAGCTTTTCAAAGCGACACTGATATGAATCTCCATGATACCTTTATGATCCTTTATGTATCTTTATGCGACCAACTTAAATGAAATTCATCCATATCTTTGGCATTGGGGGTTAACTCGCTCTCAGGTCGATGGTGGACGTGATGTGCATGGGTGTCTTGGTGGTGACCTTGTGCTTTTCCATGTACAGGCCGGGGATCAGAGGAATCATGATGTGGGGACGACATGAAACAGTTGAAAAATGTTGAAAGCCCATGGGCTTGTCGCAGAATTTTGGACCCACCCGGGACCAATGGTTTACTGGTTTACCATCAGAACAATTGGTAAAACTAATATATGTTTATCCCATCATTAGGGTAATCATCCCATGATCCGCTATTCAGATCAGTTAGCAACGGCCCCAGTGAACAACGGCTGGTGAAGCATCGTAAGTCAGCCAGATTTGTGCTGTAAATGAGCCTCCTCTGTAGACAGGAAATACACACTTGAACTAGGACAAAATGTGTACCTCCAGACATAGCAGCAAGTTCTCATTGGAATTGGTGGTGAATTTTAAAACTTCAACTGGTTTCAACTGTTCAGTTGCTTCGATGAAATGCATTGGACTCATACAATCCCCCTAACATTAAAATACATTAAACACCCCATTCCATGGTCCCGAATATGTGGTTTCATCCCCGTGTTCCCACGGTTTCTCCGGGGGGGTTTTGCCGCAGGAAGTATGTCCTGGTGGAGATGGGCCTAGGGCAGTGGCTACTTGTTGGCGCCGAAGTGATTCACTACTTCTTGTACTACACGGTGAAAGGCGGGACCCAACGGCCCGAAAAGGCCCGAACAACTTGGGTAAAAAGTGGTTTTGGGATGCCCAAATGGGTGTGAAAATGGATGAAAAGGCATAGCATTTGAGTTGAGAAAGTGTTACCATCAAATTGGGTGGTTTTCCCCTGAAGTTTCATCTACCAAAGCAATTCTTCAGCTCATCGAGGTGAACCGGCACGGCAGGCGTCATTGAAGTCACGGAAAAGGTTGACCTGGGCAACACAGTCAAGGGCGATGAGGTTCCGGCTGAAGTACGTGTTGGGGATGATAGATGAATGTATGATAGTGTTATTATATATTCTATATTCATACACAGTACATACTATAGTTTATATATATATATATATATAGTTATTATATATATAGTTATTATTATATATATAAGATTATATTAGTACATTTACAATCATGATAATCATATACATGTCAAAATATATGTATACAGTCACATAGTTAACATAGTTAACTCATGTTAACTCAGAAAACTGGCTGATCGCTGGTCTCCAACGATCCCCGTGACGAGTCGGGTCAGGAGACCGACATTTCCAGTGACGAGAGCAATGAAAGCAGCAGCGACAGCGAGGCGTTTCAGGGGGATTTTTCACGGTGATTGAGTGGGGGTGAACCATCCAAAATGAGGATATTTGACGATGAAAAATAGGGATAAATAGGATATAATGATGAATGATGTACTGTATATATAATGGTACATCATATAAAAGACATCATTGTCATTGCTTCATAGGTTACCACGTTAAAATCAGCGGGCATATCTCATTTTATGATAAGTCAAATCCATGAAATCTCCCACGAAATCCGCACCGGCCGGGCACCGGTGATCTTCATGGCACTCGAATGTGACAGCTACATAAGTTGGGTCATACTGTAACGAGATCAATAATCAATGAATCCATCAAATGACCCAAGAATTTGTTGGAATCATTTACAACAATCTGTTGGAAGGGATTACATTTCATGGATTTGCCGATTCCATGATTCATGTAATCCCTTCCCCAGTTCCACATGAAACACCACCCAAAAACCGTGGTGGTTTAGTAGGGGTAGAATCCACATATTTGGGACCGTATGGGGTGTTTGATATTCGGGGGATGGCTACAGCATACTTAGGTGTGAATCCCAGATAGGATCCATGGTTGACAACCTGTATATAACGTTCACATATAACCCATATACAAGTGAGGTTTTTCATATGGTCATTGCCCACTTTCTCACTGGGTTTTACAATGTTTTACACATTCTTATCATTCTTCATTTTCTAATATATACTATGATGTCACTAAAATTCTCGTGTCACTTTTTTCTGTCGTCGCTTTTTCTGGCCCCTCCATCAGCTGGTGGATAAACTGTGAAATCCCTGGGCTGTTGGGCGATGAAAATCCATAAATCCCAGCTATTTTGATAGGTCAGGGGATTCCACGGGCGAACTGACCCAAAACGCCGCTAAGCCTTAGCTGAGATCCACTTTGGCCGTAGTTGGATAAGACCATTTGCTTGAAAGATCTGAGTTTAGATGGACCAGTTGATCCTGTTACCCTTCGTTTGACATCTCAAGATGAGCAGATTAAAGCAAACTGGGTTGTTCATTTTGTTCAATACCAATCTAGAATCTACATGAATCTACATCAATTTACTACTTTTGATTTTTCTTTGCAATGTTTGCCATGTTTGCCATGTTTGCTCGGGAGAGGGTATACAAATGTCACATGGGGATGCTTTAATACTTGCTCTCTGAACTGTACTCACATTCGTTGAATGGAATGAAAACCTGTGTGGTCCTGGTAGGTTTTGGGTAAGAGTTAGGACCTGCGAGTGTTGGGATGATAGCGGACTTTCGTGACGGGGTTCTACCGTAGGTAGCATTTGAAGCGAAGTTGTTCTTGATGCTTGTGGTCTTGTGATTAGACTGGCGCGCTTCCATATGTGCCATGGTCAAAACATGGGTTGTTTCCGATAAAAGGGACTGGTCATCAATCCAATAGGGTTGTGTACACCCATTGTTTTTGGATTTCCAATTATGGGATGGATGACCATAAACATCCATAAACCGTAAACCATGTGTTGATCTGTTTTGACCCTAGCAAATATGGAGCGGGACAATAAGTAGCGATTTCCATCAGTCCAATTGATCCCCAGGTCATTTGAACTGCTCTGAGTGACTGTGGAAGCACCAGACCGAATGCACGGCACAAGCACAAGTCGCCTGGGGATGCGCAGGATGTTCAGCAGGATGTATACAGAAGTTGGAATACAACATGTGCCCTTTGGATCCCTTTGGATTCTTTGGATTCAGTAATCTCATTTTCAGAAAGATTCCACACTTCCATACACTTCCCAAATCATCAAGTTATCCAAGTTGGCCATCTGTTTCCAAACCTGAACCGCCTTCGTCAAGTTTCAGAACATCAGCCTGGTTGTCACTTGGTTCTTTGCGCCGACTTGCGGCGCTGGTCCAAAATTGCAGGATCTGTTTCCTATACACGTACATGGGCGAGCCAGAACTGGGTGTATACCTCCAACATCTGGTTGGTGCTTTGGAATCATGGCTTTTATTTTCCATTTCATATATGGGATATATAATCCTTCCCATTGACGAACTCCATCATTTTTCAGAGGAGTTGAAACCACCAAATAGACATGGCGAATCATGACTGCTCGTCGCTTTGTGTTTTTTTTTCCCCAAGCCGCTGTGGTCCAAGCACTGCACAATGGGGAAATAGGGGGGTGTCTTTCACAGAACAGAACTTTCCTTCACATGCTGTGGTAAATCCAATTTAATCACTTTCCAATTTTGGGGATGGTTATGGATTATTGGGACATCTCCGAACTAGCCATGGAGGTTTAAGGTTTAGTTCGCTGGGATAATCATTGAACTAAAAAGAAATTCTGTAGGGATGGTCTATAGAACTCATTTCTGGTAAAAATGGGGGCTGCAACCGTGAGGGATGGCTTATTCCGGGGTTCACCATAGTTCACCCACTTATACGCTCACAGCTATTCACCATTATTCACCCAAAAACGCTCAACAATGCCCAACAGGGGCAGGGTGAATGGCAGTGGAGAATGCCATGCTGCCTTCCCATTAGCCAGGGAGGCCCGGCCAGGATCAAAAAAGATGGCAAGGATGATGACACCCCAGCTGGAAAAGATGGCAAAGCTTGGGCATTTTACAGCTTTGTTTCATGAAAGTGTCTAAAATCTCAAGCATTTTACAGGCGAGTTCCAAGACTTTTGAAGGTGAAACACACCATTGATATAACGATATGGGTGGAGAGCAGTGACACAAGAAGACTCGGCAATTTTCACACACCAAACACATCCAGACATAACAATGACGGGCTATTTCGGTGTGTCCGAGGTTTCTCCATTCAACGGTCATTCGGAAGGTACTTTTAAACCCCATTGACACCTGTGCGTTTTGATGCTTGACCCAAGCCGCCAAGTCGAGGCCGGTGGCGATTCTCCTGTTTCGCAGATGAGGTGCGGCAGGGAGACTCCCACGGAGACCCATTTGGTCCAGTGGAAGAGGAAAACCACTTATGAAACATGACCACGGCTATGGACAATGACCCATTCAGTTCGATTTGCCTATGAAACATGGTGATTTTTCGTAGCTCTTTGAAGTTATCAGATGAGTTGCTTCTTGCGTTCCACCTTTGGGACGCCATGGGATTCAACCGGAAAAGTGACGCCAAGCTGCTAGCCATCATTGTGTGACAGGACGAGTCCAAAACCTTCAACTGCTGTTCTGTGTTGGCTTTGCTAAAGGCTTGAAAAATCGGGGAGCGGCGAACATGGAACGAAGCTGGCCTATGCCTGCTGAGAAGGGCTTGTGTGAAATATGTTTTGGTTTGGGTATACCTAGCATTCTAGGGGTATGGGCTGGTCCAATAGGATCAACACATATCAACACACATGAGTGGTGAATGCATCCAATGATTTCTTGGCTATTTGCTCCTGGCCCAGCCACGTCAGGATCGCCCCCGTCTGGGCTTGCTGAGCGCATGCCGACCTGCCGGAGCCCAGGAAGGACGGTAAAACAGGTGGAAATTCCATGAGGATCAAAACCATCATCCAGGAACCATGACTATCCGGGTAGAAAAAAAGGGTGCCAGGGTTCTGACTCATACTTGTAGCCAGATGAATACAATTAATTACACTGTTACAATTATATATATATATAAAGATATCCAATTAATTATATATATATATAATATGTATAGTAGAGATGGTATAATATGTGTTAGTCTATGATGTCAATGTATATATATATATATTATGATATATATATACACAAACAACAAATAGGCAACTTGTTATAACTGATAGAGGCAGAGGTGTGTACGATGAACTTTTTTTCATCATGGGATTGGTCACCACTGATGATTGGCTTTTTACTGATGATTGAGAGGGTATAGATAGAGTATAGACGTGTATATATATATATATTGTATATATAAAAATATATAGCATGATCATCCTAGCCCTGATTGGGACCCAGATGTTTGCATCACTGTGGATTGGGTGACGAAAAGCCACCAGCCGGTTTTTTAGTGGTTTGGGTACATCTGAAGTATTTTCCATGTTCAGTCAGAACGTGTTGTCCAAACATAGGGTACCCCCAAAAAAATTGGGTGTTGATCATCATTTCCATCCACTTTCCCCATCACAAATGGCCATTTTGGGGTATCCCACCATGAATTGCTTGCAGGTGGGCTGGATCCCCCATGTCATGCATACATGCATATCATAGATAACATGAATTTATCAGGTATATACATGTATGTTACATAAAATTCCTTTCTCCCTCTCTCTCTGTTTCTGGGCATCTGTTAATTAATATGAACTACTGTAATCTATACTAATCTATGTTGCATGTTTGTTTGAACACATATCATGTTAGAATTCTAGTGTATGTATATATATAGATATATTATGTATATATTGATTATATTGCTATACCCTGAACCCATTTTCTCATTTTGAGGTCACCGTGCTGAGCATGGTGACACACCTGAAGGTTGGAACTGGTGAAAATCCTTGAGTTTTACATCATGTTTATTCATTCTTGGTGCAATTTGCATCAGTTTTCTACAGAAAACAATTGGTTTTTAATTGTTTTTTTTCCGGCATGATTTGCTTAGAGGTTCAGGACTCGAAAGGAAACAAAAGGAATTGTATGGATGTTCCATTTACAGATTGAAGTACGGGAAGGTGTAAACTTGGAGTCTTTTTGGGGTTATGGCATGGGTCTGCATGTGTCGTGCGTCGTGAAATTGGACCCATGCAATATGGCCATAAAGTCATAGAGGATATCGGGACTTGCAACTACTACTCTTGTTTTTTTTTGGGGGGGGGAATCGTGGTCACCCCACCCACTGGTTTGACAGAGTGCCCTTTATCTATTTTGCCGCGCAAGTCCTATTCAATTCCCATTTGGATCCAGGGGCTTCTAGAAATTGGGGACCCTGATATCACCAAACTTTGGGAAACCATTGGTTTGGGGCCTGGGTACCCCCAATTTTCAGACATGCATTTTTTCGAATCCTAATTTTGACGGTTGATCAGCATTTTCCCTTATAAAAATTGTCACATCAAACCGCTGGTCACATCAAAAACCTGTCGGCTGTCAGGTTCATTCTCTCAGGCACTTCCTGGCCTCTGTGCCGGAGGCATGGCACGATTGGGAAACTGTGAACAGTTAACCAGCCAGATTGAGGATTCCAAAAACACGGTGTATAGCACATAGATTTAAACCGAATGTGGATTTAAGATACTTAAGCATCAAAATGGTGATTTAACCAGCAACATTGGGGATTTAACCAGAGTTTGTAGGGTTTTTAAGCACCACATAGCACCACACATCAGGATATGATGATATGTTTGATAACTGATTTTTGATTGCTTGTGAAATGTGGGTTCTTAACCTTTGCGAAGCTACCTGGTTTATTGCAGATCATGATAACTCATAGTGTCACCAGCAGTGGCTCAGGGGATGGCCTTAGGTGTTTTTTGATGCTGGGATTGGGATCCTGCTCCTACGACGATGGAATTTTGGGTGGGTGAACAATCATTAAAAATTGGGATTTTTATGGATCATGATGTGTATGTGCAGCCGCATATAATATATATATATATAATTATTTGAACTTCCCCAGGGTACAGTCGATTGGAATGACAATTACAGACAAGTGACCAGACCATTTCGATGATAAAACATGATCAGGAACTCATGGTTTTTTTTGGATGTTCAAAATTTGAGACCCAGGGGAGAACAGATTTTGGGGAGGGTACCCTCTGGTAATTGAACATAGCTATTGAAAACATGGTGATTTTCCATAGCTATGTTAAATTACCAGAGAGTAAACCCAAGCATAATCCCCAGGTCATCAGCATTTTGATGGGTGGGATTCCAACATATTCCAACCATCCCCAAGTTTGGTAGGTCTATGACTGGGCCAAAAAATCACAGCATCACAGGTTTTTGTAGCAGCACAGTGACTTGACCCAGGCTGCAATGGAGTCTGCATGGTCATCCTTGCTGGAAGGTGCAAACCATGAGGACACCAACCAGAAGATGGGGATATATGATGATATATATATGGGATTATAGTTTGGGAATTTGGGACATATATATGTTAAACATAGTTTAACATATAACCAACAGCAACAATATGTTGGGCTAAAGTGACCTATGCTGGGCTCGATATCCCCAATTGATGGCATTTTTCGGCGAAAATTCTCAATGCGCGCAGGCCTGGAAAGCGGGCGTTTGTGTCGGGTGTTGCCGATTCTTCTGAAGGAGGCGCTGTTATGGGCAGAATGATTGACCTGGTGGTGGAGAAACGATTCAGAACCGGGTCAAAAGTGTTGAGATTCAAGAAAATTTCAGAAGACAATATCAACATACGCCGGAAGAGTGGAGGGTGACTGGTGTAACCCTCTTGCATGCGTTGCAACGGCTAGCCAGCATTCTCATACTGGGAGAAAGCACCCTCTGAATGTACACTGAGAATTTTGAGCAAAAGGACAATTGGATCTATTCCGGAGACAATATCAAGTTCATGATTGAATTGATGTTCTATTTCTATTGTTGATTTGATCATTCGATATCATTCCATGTTTCTTGCTGCCCTTGCAACCACGAGGTTGTATGATGCTCTTGACACCCTCGCGTGTTGGTAATCTCTTGATCAGTTCGTAGTTTGCATCTCCCACGCATCTCCTATCGGGAAGAATCGGAAGACTCGGAAGCTGGTCGCAGGAAGCAAGATTCAGCAGCTTTTAGTCAACTATCATGAATTGATCCATGAAATATCATGGAATTTTCCATTTATAGTTGATTTCCCCTGCTATAAACCTCCATTGATAGTGGATTTCCAGTTGCCATGTGTAACTAACCCGAGATCTTCAGGTGGAGCTGCACCAGACTCTGGCAGCTGTCATGTCCCTAGTAAAGTTGGGGAAACCCAGTGGGATCGCGTTTTCGGCTCCGGGATTGGGAAAATCCAAACAAAATGCGTCCAATCGTTACAGTACCTGGTACTTAGTTCCATGGCTTAGGCTCGAAAATCACCCAGAAATATCTCTAGTTCGATGATTTTTCGCAGCTCTCAAGCTCCGTTTTTGACGGGGATTTCTCAGCACTTTGGTGAATCAAACCAGGCCAAAAAAACCTGGTTTATAGATCCCAGACCCTCCAGCCAGGTTTGGGGCAAATTATTTGTTAAATACCCTCCGGTAAACTAACATAACCATGGAAAACCACCATTTTTTATGGGTAAATCCACTATTTCTATGGCCATTTTCAATAGCTATGTTAGTTTACCAGAGGGTACTTCGTTTTGAACATATTAAGATATCTAAAGATAGCTATGTTTCTAACATTTTGAACCAGACCTACAAAGCTATTCGGCTCGCGATTAGGCAAAAAACACCACCCCGCCAACCAGGACTCAGTAGAATCCCGAATAGATCCAAATGGTCAGAGAGAATCCGGGAGATTTTGATTGACTTGCCGGGTTGATGGTTGATTGGTGGTTAATTGGTGGTTGATTGATGGTCGGTAGCAGTGAAATCTCCGGACAATTCTATCAACGGAAGCTTCTCTTTCTTGGTCATACTGCCCACACAGTTTGGCTAGGCTTCTGCACATGGACAAAGGAAAACATGCTTATCAATGCTTATCATGCTTCATGTATGCACTCTCGAAGTATCCATAGTATCCATCCACATTTGTATGTGTCAAATGTATGACATTGTAAGACCCCGCAGCGCACGGACTTGAAGCCAAGCCCCAGGCCCAACAATCTGATTGAGGCGGGGCGTTTTTGTTTCATTTCCAACGGAAAGCGAAGCCGGAAAATGCCGGAAACAACTTAGTTTAGTGTTGGTTGATTTTGATTTTTTGGATGTTCCATGATTTGTGCTATCTTCAGTAAAAGAAAAGATCCACAGGTTGGGTAATCTGATACGTTTGAGTTTCTGGATGTCCCTTTTGAACCTCCAAGACTACCCTGAAAAGATACAAAAGTTAACGACAGGGTTTATTGCAGAACACATCCCGAGAGTTAGGGTCAGTGACATGTCCATCTCATCAATTTTGAAATAATTTCATTATTCATATACCCCCAAGTCTTGGAAGCACCGAGTAAACATATCATCATCTCACGCGTTGCCATTGTTGGTGTGTTGGTTTCCCGCCGGGCCTCCGACCTGATTCAAGAAGTGACCAGCTGGGGATAAGCCAAGATACTGCAGATACTGGGGACCCAACTAAGTGTCAGTGAGTTGGTGAAATTTGTAGATTTACTTGGCCATCAATGACGAAAAGAATGATGAACATGTGACTCAACACAGGATTCTAGTGTATAAGATTGTATAAGCATAACCTCTAAATATCCCTGTATGTTTGGACCAACCCACCTAGCAAAAATGATTATTGGGAATGAAACATAGCTTAGGCTGGGAAATTCCCGAAGTAGTTCAATGATTCCCCTATATGTTCCATTTTCATCCATGAAATGCTAATTTCCCAGCTTTGAACCTCCATTTTTCGTGGATTACCAGAGGGACCACCCACCGTGCCAGATCTTGAGCCGAGTGCCACCGGGCCATTTGCGAGCAGCCAGGGCACCCCAGCAGCTTGATTAATAGTCATCCTGGAGTAGATAGAATGTGGACATGTCAAACAATGTTCACAGAACTGTTTTTTTTTTACATCATACTCTATCTACTTTGGGATGGCTGTATATTAATATATATATAATGTTAAATATACATATGTATTATAAGTAAACATGTAGATAAGATATGCATTATGGTTACATTGGATAACAATCCCGTTTTGGTGTTTGTTACCCAATCACACTTGAACCACTGCCATTTTGCCAGAACCTCCGAGTTTCAATGTCACTTATGGTCCCAAGTCACCAGTTGGCCTAGAAAACCGTATGTTTCATGACGTAATTCTTCTTTGGTTGGTGAAAAAACCCTAAAAATCCTATTGTTTGATGCTTATATAAATCCGCTGAACAAATCCCAGGGAATTCGCTGGCAGTTTTCATTTTTGATCCCGCTGTGTCCATCCCTAGGTCTGTAAAGCATCGCCCGAGTCGATGGTCCAGTTGCTCTCCCATACGGAACCTGACAAGGCTTGGCCGGGGGCATGTCAACGTGGTACATGTGGCATCATGTGGCTGTGTCTGAAAATGGGGCATACCACCGGAACATGGTAATTGTTATATTGAAAATGAAGAAAACCTTTGATTAACCAGTGGATTGCGGGCGGGTATGCATTTTTAGACAAACCCAGGTACTCATGGTTATTTTGTAAGGAATTTCATCATGCAATATGGGTTTTAACTAGCAAACGTGTGGGGATATCATTGATACATGATGGTTGGAAGCCCCAAAATAGGTTTCTGCTGATTTTTTTCAGGAATTCTTGTGGATTCATGTTGACTTCGTAATCCCTTCCCCCACCAATATCAGATACCCCGCAAAAGGAAACCAAGGAAACCATGGTCTATGGTGGAACATATAGGATGCAATCAGTTCATTGATTTGGGCCCCAAAATGGGTGTCTGACGTCATGGGGAAGGGCCTGGAAGGGATTACAAGCTATCGTTGGGAAGGGTGAAAAGCGTGGGTTTCAAGGATGGCTTGCTTACGAAAGATCATCAAGGTACTGAAAATCCGTGTTAAGCAACTGCTGGGGATGACGGTGAAGTGAGCACTCACTTGTTCCACGTTGATGTTTCTGAACTCATTCTCAGGACGATTCCTATTCTTGACTGGACTGCATTGTACCCAACGACAAAGGGGGCATTGCCGCTCATTTTTATGGAATGTCATGTCCCAATCATAACTTGACACATCTCCATTTGAACCTGGAATTGGGTACATAAAGGCCTCTATAATCCTCTATATATAATTATATATATATTCGATATGTACGCATAGATGACCACTTTCATGGATGCATCCCATCTATCTTTACAGTTGTTTATCCTAAATTTCAGTGATGAAACAAGCCCATGACCTAGACATACCTAGACCTATTTTGGCCAAGGCGGCCAAGTCTGGGTCGCAGTTTTCCCATGAGGTTCGTGAGATGGTCATTCCGATGCTTCTTGAGCACGATCTCTTAGCCGGAGGGACCTGGGACCCCCTCCAGAGGCGGTCTGAAAATGGAGGATTTATCGCCATTTTCTGGTTTAATAGAACGCTTAATCGGATAGTGATGATTAACGAAGAGTGGATTTTTGTTTCTTGTAAATCTAAATGTTACCCTCTGGTAAATTAACATAGCTATGGAAAATGGCCATTTTTAATGGGACAATCCACTATAAATGGCCATTTTCAATAGCTACGTTAAATTACCAGAGGGTATGTTTTAGACCCAGTCCAAACACAGGTTCAGAAAGGGCCACAAAGATGCCACAAGAGGTTTGGTTTTAAGTGGTGAAAACACCAAGGTTTGGATGAGATATTTATGGCATTTAGAAAACAAAGGTAGGAAATTCGAGGAATAATAGTTTTTCACCCCCCCCAGCCTGGACATTTTTTCAATAGGCTATGGGATATTAAAAACTGTAGGATTAAAATGGATTAATAGTAGGGGAATACAGTAAGGATTGCAGATACTTTGTACCAGGAACTGGCCCAGTCTCATGCAGCCTTCCACTTCGAGGCCCCAAACCGTCATCGATGGGAGCCTGGTGCCCGTGCTGGTGGGGAAACCCGAGCTGGAAATGATCCTATTTAAGTGGAGAATCATCCCCAATGATCCAGATTGGATCTGGGAAAGCTGGCAGATTTAGGAAGGGAGGAGCTCCATGTTCGTAGATTCATGCGAATGGTTGTAATCTGTAGTCTTACGACAGACGTGGATGCTGGGAAAATTTACCGGCTATAGCTATTTACTTATCAAAACCATGTGGTTTCCTATATTCTTTCCGTCAAATCAATTCAATGATTTTAGGAGCAAAACTCAAACCTACACCCGTTGTCGCATCGGTTGAAACTCTGATCAGTCGTACCACAGTTGGTGCCAAAGCCTTAGAAGAAACCCAGCTGACTTAAACCATATTAAAGTCATCGGCTTTGTGGATGCTTATATCCAGTATCCGTATAATAATGGAACTATAGTATATGTATCATATATATAATATAAACATAGACACTACATATAGTATATAATACATAGTATATATAAATATATACTAATATATATCTATATTCATAATATTTTATCATCATCCCCAGCCTCCAGTCCATCCACCATCTCCGCGCAAAAACCCTAGGCCAAAGTTCAGGACCCCACCCGCTTGGCGAAGATCATTAATTTGGTGGACAAGGAGGCGTTGGCTAAAGATCTTTGAACTGTTTTTTGCTGCCTCAGAGGAGCACTTCAAGATATGGAATGATACGGAGGTTGATCGTAGAATAGTTGACTGCTTGTAAATGTTGGTTGCTTTATATGATATGTTGATTATAGTTAAATATGTATATATATAACATATAACCTATAATGTATGATATATTTAATATATACTATATAATATATAACATATATAATATACAAATAAGATATATAATATATAATATATAATATACAGTATATAATATACAATATGTAATATATAATATATAACATATATAATATATAGTATATAATATATAATATATAATATATAGTATATAATATAATATATAATATATAACATATAACATATAATATATAATATATAATATATAACATATAATATATAATATATAATATATAACATATAATATATAATATATAATATAATAACATATAATATATAATATATAATATATAATATATAATATATAATATATAATATATAATATAATAGAATATAATATATATATTATATATATATAATATGAGAATAGAATATAAAGATATATACTGTATATATATATATATATGTATACATTATAGTATTATAGTATTAATGCCTTCAAGTCGGTGCTATTCCTTGGAAGGTGTTGCTTCATCTACTGAGACATGTAGATGGAGAGCATTTGGCCTGGTTCTCACGCCAAAAGGGCTGGTGAATTGTTGTTACTTATGAATGTTCAGCCCCTAAGTACAGATGAACATGATATCAGAAGTGTTGACTCAGTGTTGACCCATTTGCACTTCTCAAGACGCTGTCGCCCTTGTTCGGGAATGTTGGGATCCATTCAAGAATCGGCGACCCGGAAATTTGATGGTTTGACTTCCCTGCGGGGGATGCAGTTGGTATCCCCAAGGCTTGTTTAATTTATTTCGAGAATCGAGAACTACTGGTATTGCCTGAAATTCGTTGTTGCATCATGTTGCATCTCCATGCAGTGATACAGGAGTGGGACATCATGGCATCTCAAGTAGTTGGCCCAAGCTTTAGCCCTGCCAGTGGCTGACCACCTGAAAAAACTGGAATTGCGCAGTTGGTCATGGCTCCTCCAAAAAAACACTGAAAGTTCAGTTGTTTGCATGTTTTGCCAAGTTTAGAACCTGCATGTTTGGACAGTGGTGATCTCCAGAACGATGGAAACAAAAACCAACAAAGATGCGGTAGGGCCGGTAGGGGATTGTTTTCTCCCTGTCTGGTGGCTTCAAACTTATTACCAACTGTATCTCGAATCTTGAGTATAAATTTATGCATCCTACTTGAATTGACTAAGAGATATCTCAAGGGGCCCAAGGGGGTTGTGACTGAAGATCCTTGGATATCTCCCGGAGGGCTCACTCGTTTGAGGCCACCTTGGTGAATGCCTTTGAAAATGACAAGGACTGGGGCGACTCTTGGATGTACGCAGCATGGGTTAACATTCAGACATTCAATAGAAAATGAATAGGTTGACGAGGTTTAGAATATAGATATGTCACGTCTATGTTTTCATGTTCCTACAGCCACTATCAATGACCACTACAAGTGGTGCTGCCGAAGTGGCTTCGCTGCTCACTTTTCGGTCAACATTTGCAGGGTTGGGGGTCGGGGGTGTCGCCTATGGTGCAGTGCCTACAGTAGCTGAATAGATCTGGTACCTAGCTAAAGAAGGGCATAGATGCACCTGGATGATACACCAACAAGGATCCGCACTTTCGTGATGATGAAAATTTAATAGCCAAATTAGCCAAAGAAAAGGTATTATTTTCCATTCATATTAGATTATTAGTACCTACTCTAATTGTTTTGGATACAAAAATAGCGATATGTGCTATAGACACGAGTTGGATTATATAATATTATATATGGTTGATTATATGATATGCCCAGATTGGGGATGGTCATAACCCACTAGGTCTTCCATGTTTTGACCCATGGCACAATAGGGGTCTGTCTGATCAAAAAAAAACCAGCATGTGAAAATGGGAAGATTGGATTTGCGAGTATCCTATTTTCAGACAAAGCCATACTGATATACCATGATATACCAGTATCATTCCGAAGCTTGGATTCCCGTAGTTTCCTTTGCCGGCATGTTGATAGTTGATAGGTCATGTAATACACCCATCTTGCAACATTGACATTAGTATATCCCAACAGTGGAATGCGCAAGAAAAATCCGAGGACCCCATTGATATCCCTTGATTTGGCATGATGTGGTTATATGATATAGTGGTAAGTGAAATTTTCATACCCCAGACAGGTCCAAAAAATTGATATGGTGTGTGTGTATGGAGGGCGTGGATGACCCTTACCCCTAGATACCCGTACCCATGGGGGGGTGGGGCCAGGGAGGGCTGGATCATATATATATATATATACATATATATATACATATATATATACATATATATATACATATATATATGATTTTATACATACACAATTATACACACATATTTATAGGAACCTCAAAAACATGGAAAATTGAAATCCCATTACAATAGTGATGATGTTTTTCTATCTTTTTGGGGGTTACAGTACTATCTATATCTATATCTATGTATATATATATATACATCTCCACATGAATGTTACCCAATTTCACCAACATCTGTGAGCGAAAAACAGGACTTTGAGGCGGAGGGTGCAGTCATCAGGCGGGAATTTTTGTGGAGCAGGTGTTTGCAGCGACATTTCCAGGGATTGCCTGCTTTGGACTTTAGACCTCAACATATCGTACAATATATACAATATATACAATATATATATATATACATATACACATATAAAATCACATAAATATGAATATGCCCGTATTTAATATATTGGGACGTGTCCCAAAGTCATGATTTTTCCATATGGTGGGACAAACAGCCAGTTCTGCCAGCTCTTTTACTCCGGGAAAACCCTTTTTTTTTTTTCGGGGTTTGATCCATAGACTCGCTGTGAGGCTTCTACAGGAGGCTTCAAAGGACTACAAACTCCTCCAAGAGCGACTGGGTCGACATGTTTGGCTGGGGAAAAGTCTCTGTGTGGCTGGAACACATCAACAAATATGGACTCCTTAAGATGTAAAAAGAGACAGAGAAAACCTGGGGAAACCATTTCAATCACACAAATTATTTGGAGATCACAAAACATCCCGAGGGGACACTGGAAATGTGCAAAAACAGGCTCCACCAGACAATGCTGCAATTTTGGTCAAGTCTATCTTCGACACTATGCAAGGTATGTTCCAAAAAAGCGCTCAGCTGATTTTATGCCTAAATAAAGGGTCAGAAACTACAAAAAATGGATATGCGCTTATTTTCCTCACCTTCTGAATTGGATCTAGGCAAATTTGTTGTTTTTTTTCAGATTCTTGGTTTTCTTGGTTTATCTTGGTTTATCAAAAACATGTGTATACGTGCGCATATGATGATTGCATTAAATCCCTGTGAGCTTTGTGCTTGATTGTACATATCATATATACATGTTCATACAGGACATATTGCATGTGTTTTCATATCTTACATCATTATCTTGAATTTCAAAGCATATCATCTGGCTGCTCACTAAACACCGTGGTGCGCCCAGGAAAGTGGCGCCCTTGATGCGTGATGTTGCCCGCGTGGTCTGTGGTGTACAGCGTCTTGGCGACAGCGACTGGGTCAATGGAAGGTTCACGACTTGGAACAGGGATTCCACCCAGCAAAATGGGAATTTACCCTCTGGTAAACTAACATAGCTATTGAAAATGGCCATTTATAGTGGATTTTCCCATTGAAAATGGTGATTTCCATAGTTATGTTAGTTTACCAGAGGGTATATGAATTTATTCAGCAAAGAAGTGGATTGAAACGACACCAAGTTTCTGCAGAAAGTGGGGTCGTTTCACCAACTCATCAGGGATGAGGATACTTTCATCAGGGATAAAGAGAAATCTCATGTGGAGATATGCACCCCAAAATATGTTTCGACAGATCACCAAGGGATACTTTCCAAGACAAGTGGGTTAGCAACGGGATCTTTAACCAGTCAACATGTTGTCATGAAGGATTTGGATATATTTGGATATACTGATATACTCATGAACGTGTGAGAGAAGACCATGGAAAATGGTAGCCAGGAAACATTCAATGAATAAGGAAGCCTAGATATTTCATGGTGATGGACATGCAGCCAAGAAACAATGCGGATGCAACCCAACAGCCAATGCGGGAACCAAACTAATCCAATGGTTTGCTTTGGGAGCGACGAGAACTGTCTCCCCAAGAGTTACTTGGATGGTAAATGATTCGACGTGGTAAATCGCAACCCCCAAAAAGATAGAACAGTAAAAATCTTATAGATCTTACTTAAAGAAGTAAAGAAGTGATTGATCTCGTTTCTGTATATACCGCAAGAGTGCTTTCCTTCCACTCAAAGCTTGGATGATTTGGATGGCTCGCCTGAGGCCTCCAAAGCTTCTTGCAGTGCTGCGGCAAGTGGATTGTAATTCGGTGTTTGGGAGCTTAGGATCTTGAGATCTAGCAGTTTCACTGGGTGTTTTCCATGTGAAGACCCGAAACCCTACTTGTACTTCTGAACTTCCAAGGGAACTGGGATTTCACGGGATGTTCCCCCCGAAACAAACGGTACCAGCGATGCTCCATAGGTTTTTTTTTTCGCGACTTGAGGCTGACACTGATGGCCAGCGCCAATGAGGACCTGGTTGTGATGGACCCGGTTGGAGATTTGATAATGGGTAATATAGCTGGGTAAATTATAACGACCTCACAGCGACCGAAGCCTGGAATCGCCAAACAGCCAAAAATTTCAGGTTAGTGAAATATGATAATTTACCCAGACAGAGGTTGCTTTCACCATTTTCAAATGGTGATTCATCATGGGAAAATTTCACGGTGATTCATCGATTGATATAGATTGATGTAGTGGTAACCATTCTTCGAGTCGCAACTGGAATGAATCCCTGCCCCCCTGGCCCTTGAATAACACCATCAGAAACCAGGCTTTAGAAGAGAATGAAACCACATATTTGGATATACAGTATATATATATATTTGGGACCATATTTGGATCATGAAATTCAATGGGGCTGTTGGCTAAAATTGGATTGGATTCGGGGATGGAGGATTTCACCAATCATGCTAGATCCGCAACAGCAATGGCGTAGAGACAGCTTACCACATATGGGGACTAATATGATCAATCGATATGTCATACATGTGACGCAATGAGACCATCAGTACCATGCGGACTAGAAATCGCTTGCGAGGTGGAATCTCGCGGGCACCAAACATCCATGAAGAAAACCCCTCTGGCACCCAATGATTCGAGTTTCTATCGCCTAGATACAGGGACCTCCGAGAGAATCCTCATCTTTTAGAGCCTTTGAAGAGCCAGAGCCATCAAAAAAGCAGCCACAGTATGTTTCGCAGAAATGGTTCAAGGGAAAATTACAAAGAACACCACCATACACCACCTCAGCTTCCCGTATTTTCCCCAACCGTTCATTGATCCATTTTTCATGGATAAAAATCCCCATAAAATGGCTGGTCTAATATAGATCCCTAAGAATAGCCATTCACTGGTGAATTCCTCTAATTCCTCTATTTTTCAAGGACGTGTGATAAGTCAAAACCATCATCCTTTTTATGGTGAATTTCCCTCCCGTTTCTGATGGTTAACTCCCAATGGGGCGTCCTAGGTCCAAATTCTGGCTGGGCCCTTGGATAGCATCGCCACCAAGACCGCCCCTGGAGTGGCGGAGGCGTTTCTAGATTCTAGATGGCGTGGATGGCCTTGGATGGTGTTTTTTTCCACAAATTTTGGCAAGATCAAACAGTGAAAAAGATCAGAATTGGTGATGTGTGGTGATTTTTGTGATTGTGTTTTAAGTTTCCCAGGGAAAACATTGCCAGCAGCAGCAAACAGGGGGGAAGTAGCGATTTTTGGTTGGCGATTTGAAGTGTGTTTTAGGTGTTTTATGTGTTTGGGGTTGGGTGTAGCCAATTATTGAGATAGAATGATCTGACATGTGGGACAACACGGTGTATCCAATGTAGGAACTTGTTGATCCCAGTCTCTCATGGGGCACATGTAGTAGGCAGATATACCGAAGATCAATGATCTGGCTTGGCAGAGGTTATGTGAGTGTGGGTCAAAGTCTATATGAGACTGCGGACACCTCAGATGTTGATGTATTTAAGCTAGCAGCTATGCTTGGGGTGCACGGGTCTGACCTGTACATCTCCAAAATGCTTACATGTCGGTTCTAAACTCATAATGTAACATCATAGACATGGTAATTTTGATGCAAACATTGGGCCTTGCAGATTGCTTGGTACCGGATGCTTGCAAAATGACATGTTTATTTGTATCTCAAGGGTTAGGACTGGTGACTGGTAGGCCAAAATTGGACTGGGGGGTTGCCTGTCACTCAGCAAACCCATTTGGTGCTTACATGTTCTATAAAAGCCAAGCGTGTCGTACAACAAGGGAATGAATCAACCCCTAAGTTTCTATTGCTACCATTAACATATATGAAGATACAGTACATGGGTTAATGGGGAGTCGATCCAATGTTCTTCAGACATGAAGAGAACTTGAGACGCACTATACCCTATCCATATCTATGCATCATAGCAAGTAGGTGAGCAAATCAAGTCAAGTCAAGTCCTCTCAGTGAAGCAAGTAAGTGATTAAGTAGAAGCACGCATATATATATATGGTACCCCCCCTGATACCCACCTCACATTGATTCAAGAAGTAGGTTTTTAATGATCTACTGTATATGTATGTAAAAAATGTATGTATATATATATATAAATAAATGTATGTATATATATATATATATGTATACATATATATATATATATACACTTGCACGTCACTTGGTACTATGTGGTTAAATAATTTGGGTACTTAGGCAAATTGCACACAGAGAAAAATTGCAATTTTTGCAATTTCCAGACCCCAAATTCAAAGATTCAAAGATTCAAAGATTCAAAGGTTGAAAAGAAGTTCTTTGAATCGAAGCCCCCAAAATTCAAAGATTCAAAGATTCAAAGGTTGAAAAGAAGTTCTTTGAATCCAAGCCCCAGACCCCAGATTCAAAGATTCAAAGATTCAAAGGTTGAAAAGAAGTTCTTTGAATCGAAGCCCCCAAAATTCAAAGATTCAAAGATTCAAAGGTTGAAAACAAGTTCTTTGAATCGAAGCCTCAGACCCAAAATTCAAAGATTCAAAGATTTAAAGGTTGAAAAAAAGTTCTTTGAATCGAAGCCCCCAAAATTCAAAGATTCAAAGATTCAAAGGTTGAAAAGAAGTTCTTTGAATCGAAGCCCCAAACCCCAAGTGAAAGATTCAAAGAACTTCTTTTCAACTTTGAATCTTTGAATCTTTGAATTTTGGGGGCTTCGATTCAAAGAACTTCTTTTCAACCTTTGAATCTTTGAATCTTTGAATCTTTGAATTTGGGTTTTGGGGCTTCGATTCAAAGAACTTCTTTTCAACCTTTGAATCTTTGAATCTTTGAATTTTGGGGGCTTCGATTCAAAGAACTTCTTTTCAACCTTTGAATCTTTGAATCTTTGAATTTTGGGGGCTTCGATTCAAAGAACTTCTTTTCAACCTTTGAATCTTTGAATCTTTGAATTTGGGGTCTGGAAATTGCAAAAAATTGCAATTTTTGTCTGCGTGCAATTTGCCTAAGTACCTCAAGGTGCAAACTTATCTGTCAAAAAACTCACACAAACAAGTTGCTCAGGCAAACTGCTCCAAAGCCATCTACAAACCACCGCAGAGGCGCCTGGGATTTGGTGGTGTCAAACCTGGTCAGTACCTCAAGGTGCAAACTTATCTGTCAAAAAACTCACACAAACAAGTTGCTCAGGCAAACTGCTCCAAAGCCATCTACAAACCACCGCAGAGGCGCCTGGGATTTGGTGGTGTCAAACCTGGTCTGAGAAACAGTTACTCTAATCAGACACTTTCAGTTCAGCACATCACTGTTCATCTCTGCAGCCGCCTATCTCATCCGAAAAAAGTCTCTGACTAGAAAAAGGTCACAAACATGCAATTTCCAATCGAGGGCAGCGTCTCTTTGAGCAATGGCTCAGCCACATTGCGCTTGAAACCTGCAAGCGTGGAGGTGGTCTACGTTCAGGCTCCTCGCCCGACCGTTGAGGATGTTCAGCTCTGGGATGTTCACTCGTCACGACTCCCTATGAACAAAAAGGTCTTGGCTTCAGCAATGGTTTGTGTCCAGAAACAGTTGGGCATCCCCACCGGCATCAGTGGAGTATGGACCCAAGATGCCACACGCAGGCTGCAGACCAACCTCGCCAAACCAAAGAAGGCAGCCCAAGCACATCCCTCATCACCTCCTCAGCTGGCACTCGAGGACATGAAGCATCTTCCTCCTCAGCCCAAGCGCAAGCGTTCTTCGTCGTCATCTTCCTCATCATCATCGTCCTCGTCATCTTCTTCGAAGGCGTCCGCGGCGTCCTCTACAGCATCGAAGTCATCCAAGGCATCCTCCAGAGCATCTAAGGCATCGAAGTCATCCAAGGCACCCTCCAGAGCATCTAAGGCATCAAAGTCATCCAATGTATCTGCCAAGTCTTCTGGAACCACCACCGAAAAGCTTCTTGCACAGATCACCCGCCTTCAAGCCGAAAATTTGGAGTTCTCCGATGCCATTGCCTGCCACCAGGAAATCGAGGAAGAGATTATGCGTGTGAAAGCCGAGCGAGACAAGTTGGCCAAGGAGAATGCGAAGCTGAAGGGCGAGATCGCTGCCTTGAAGATTCGCATTGGACTCTAGATAGCGGCTGTGCGGTGAACAAAAGGAATCTTATTGCAGCGTGACAATAGTATTGTTAGTTGGGGTTAGGGTGACATGATGCAGGTATGCTGTCTTTAAAGGAAGGGTATACAGGGAAAGTAAGATAGTGCATAGCTCCAACCTAGCTGTATATCCAAAACCGCAACGTAAACAACAAAAACAAAACATTGCGCTTGTCTGCTGCACATTGGTTCCTTCTGCTTGCCTCACATCTGCTTTCTTGTGTGACATTTGGCTCAGCCTGGCCTTCTAGCCCTGTCCCGCAATCGTTGCTCTCAAATTTGACCAAAATGTCCGGCGCTTTGATGGACACGGCCATTGCAGACCTGGCTGGCAAACAGATGCTTCTACGTCTCTTAGAGAAGCCAGACCACAGTCCCATTGATTGTGAGACACCCTTGGCCATGGACAAGTTCATTGCGGAGGCTTGCCGGGAATGTGTCAAGGTCCAGCCCTTTAGGCTCGTCTTTGATGTCCATTTGTCCATGGAAGCCTGTGGAGACCCTGCTGAAACTTCCAAGAAGCTCTCCGAGTCAGATGTGGAAGGCCTTCCAGCAGCCATCAAATTCAAAGCCCCTCTTCCTGAAGGATCCAAGGTTGATTTCATCCATGTCAGCAAGGACGATGGTAAGGTTGACGTCCTGAAGGTGATCTACACGTCCCGTCCGATCTCTTCCCAACTAGCCAGTTCTTTCTGCAGTGGCAAAATGCACTTACCTGTCCATCGAGCAGGCCCATGGAAAGTGAAGAAAGCCACCCAATGGCTTCTAGGTCAACTTGGTGGTTATCAGCTCCGCTGGCATGTCTTAGAAGAGAAGACTGCAGACAGTGCTCCACCAAAACCTTCATGGTCCCCATCAAATGCTGAACTTGAGGAAGGCGTTCTGTTCATCAACGCGCATGCACCAGAGTGTGACGCACAAAATGAGCAGACCCTGTGGATCCTCATAAACATCAAGTCCGACTCCGGCACGCCAATTGCCAGCTGGCCCGAGCCAAAGGTTCGGCTCATGTGCCAGAACAAAAGTCGAGGACAAGCGGGAGCCGTGAGCATGACAGAGTTCCCTTTGACTACCTACAGCCTCAAGCCCTTCTTACACTCAGCCCTCTTGCCTCTCCTCTACCCCTTGATGCTCAACTTTGGCGTGTTGTTGCTGGGGTGTCCAGGAGTTGGCAAGACTCCCTTTGTTGTGATCTTGGCAATGGCCCTGGGAAGGTATCATGTACGCCTGAGTGGTGATACAAACTTGAAACCTGGGTGGCGTAGGGCCAAGTCTTTGGACAACTTTCGTCACCGCGCTCCTCGCGTTCAAGAAGCCTTGTTCCTTGATGACCCTTGCCGCGCCAAAGTGAGCATGGCTGACTTGAAGAGTTTCCTGACTGTGGATGAGGATGGAACTGTTGAGTCCCGCTACAATGATACCCGCCTCATCAGGAATCAGTTGCGGGCCTATGCCTCCAATGATCTGAAAGATGACTTGGAGGAAGAGCAAAAGATTGGAACTACTCTCCCTCCAGGACGCTTTCTGGTCATGCTGGATGACTTGTTTGCCGGGGAGAAGGAAAAAGATGTTCTGGCTGTTCTGAAACGTTCCATCATCTTCGTCTTCACCGGTATGGCTCTATACTTGCGCTTGCCCAGTGAGAATAAGGAGGCCATCATCCACCGCATCTGTGTAGACGACTTGCACAAAGACTTGCTGGCTGACAAAGACAAGCCCTTCTATGGCAAGTACAAGGCAGGCTCCATGGAAACTGGCCCCTCTTTTGATACTGATGTAGGTCGAGAGCAAAGGATGCTGGAGCAGGCAATGAACACAATGGCAGAGTATGAGGAAGTCCAGGGTTACATTGAGTTCGTCAACGGCAAGATTCAAGATGCACTGTTCCGATCTCAGGACATCCGCATTCTTCCAGGCTCTCCATCGTCGGATGACGACGACCAGGTGCCTTTGGCTGCTCGTCCTGTGCCACCCATTGGAACTCATTGTTCTGGTCGTCGTGTTGGTCCATTTGTCTATCCTGGCCGCCGTGTGCGGAGGAAAGCAACACCTGTGTCTCAAGAGCTGGAAGAGTTGGCTCAGGCTGCCGAGGCACAGACTGCTGTCTTGGAGGATGGCACCAATGATGAGATGGACTTTGAAGCTGCTCTGCTAGACACCGCTGCAGATGAAGAGGCAGCTCATGCGCTAGGCACTCTTGATGCTTAGGAGTAGCTACTGTAGCTTCACCAATTTATTGTGCGTGTACTTCACGTGCAATAGCTTGCGTACATGCTGTCGTTCCGGATAGACAGCTATCGCATTGATCATATCTGGGGAAAAAAGTTTGTCCCACAGCTTCTTTTGTCAACGGAACTGAGTTTGTCTACCCTCATGCTTGCAAGCGCTTGCAAATCATTCCACTCCAAGTCCACCAGCACCATACCAAACCTAATTGCTCATTCAAATTCAGTGTCTGATTCAATTTTGTCACTCGTTATAGCTGTTTGGTTTCCGCCTAGCTCCGAAATTGCGCCTTGCCATGTCCAAGTTCAACAACTTTCCCGTGCCCAAGAAAGGTAAGCTACGTGCTGTATTGAAACGGCCTGCGAGCATGAAGACCAAGGCATGGAAGCAAGTGAAGTATGTGCGATCCCCTGATGCAGTTCCTGAAGTTCGCATGGACCGCTGCAAATGGAAGCGCTCCTTGGCACAAATTTTGCAAAGCTCTCCATCTACTTTGGTGAAGATGCTTCGTGAAGATGGACTTCTTCATAAATGGGAAGGGCATGTCTGTCCGCGATGCTGCCGTGGCACCCTTGGTGGCCTTTAACAACTTGGAGGTTTACTAAAGCATAGATGCAGTGCCAAGAAATGCCACACCTACATCAACCCGCATCATGCTCACCCCATTTTTGTGGATCATTGGGGCTCTTCTTCTACACCGCTTGCCACCCAGGCATGTTTACTGATGCTCCTGCTCAACCGTGTTTCCCACCCCACCATCCATCGCCTCCTGCATGTGAACCATAAGAGCATTGAGGATATGGAGAAGAGATTAGGCCAGCTACGTGAAAGGTGGGTCAGGAACAAGGAGAAGGACATCAAATTTGGGCAAGGTGGAAAATGGCAGGACGTGGAAGCCGATGAAGCCACGTTTGACAAGAAGGTCGTGAATGGACAGCTGCACTGGGAGCAGTGGTGCGGCATTGTCCAAAGAGGTAAACCTCAGACGCTTGTCCTCCATCGCTTGAAGCCAGTCATCTCCAAACTTCGCGCTCCAGGCCCCGGTGCTATTCGAAAAGTTGAATGGCAACCATTGGCTGTGAAATGGCTTCAACACCGTGACATTATTCTCCACACCGACTCGGCAAAAAGTTATGCCATCAAAGTCAAGGGTGTCCTCCATGACCGGGTCATCCACAAAAAGAAGCGGGTGAAAGTCAATGGAGAATGGAAATGGCTCACTCCAAAGTATGTGGAGTTGCACAAGCATGTCCTCCCCGGCAGCAAGAAGGCAATCACAGTCAAAAAGGGCACCCAGATCATTGACAGATGCTGGCGTTTCCTCAAAGACCGGTTGAACATCAACCAGAACTGCAAAGTTGGCAGCAGTCTTCTGCGCATCCGTTTGCGCTCTGCTCAGTATGAGTACTGGCATAGGGGGCACGATCTGTGGTTGGCAACGGGTTCTCTTGTTCAGTGGTTCTTGTTGAAGGCCTAGAGAGCCCAGCCACCACAGCGGGGCAGAGTTCAAAAGAATCAGCGCGTCGCTGCTAGCACCTTCTGCTGTGTTCTAACCTTCTTGACTTTGCTGCCATCGCATATCTGTGGGCTTCCTATGTAAATTTCACGCCTATTTGCTTCAATCATCTGCTTCAATAATCTGATTCTCATGTCCTTCCTGATCCATCATCTGCTGGCAAATGTCTTCAACATATTCATGTCAATGCTCGCTCTGCACGCATGCAGGCCGCTCAAGGTGGGTATCAGGGGGGGGTAGCATATATATATATATACGTGTATATATAATAAAATTATACATATATATATATATATTATGGTCTCGTGTTCCGTGTTCCTACCCCCCCCAATGGTATGGGTCCCCAGGTAGCACCCCCCCCTTCCGTTCTATTTGCTTGTCCAGGCCTCAGCGATAAGGCGAGCAGACCGCCGTCCCTCGCCGAGTGGTTTCCGTTGCGTGCACGTCCTGCACATCGCATTCGTCACTCAGGGCTGCATTCCGGTACAAGCCGAACTACTTGACCAACAAGGCCCGGGGCCGAATATAATCACGTCCAAAATCTTCCAAACCTCTCCTTATATGCACGTTATTGTTTCTTCGTTTTCTACTTCTTCCTGCTGCCGAGGAACGCAACCGGAAGGCCCATGCGGAGAACGGCAACACCGCTCCCGCTGCGTCGTGCGGTCCTCAGGGCACCCTCTTCAAGATGAATAAAATAAGCAGCCAAGTTATTGCTATATCCAAGGATCACCGTCGACCGGGCCTTCCTGGAAGCCCTCTGCCGTGCCGACCCGCCCCCCGCGAGGGCCGGGGGACAGGACTTTGTCCTTAAGCGGGTCGGCTTTTGCAGCGATTCTGACTACCAGCCTCGCATTTACTAGGTACATGCTACCTTTTAGACGACCTACGTAGCACACATACTCCCTCAAAGTACCTGTGCACTACCTATAGTCATATATACATGTGCTACGTATCTACTTCCTACATATATATATACATATATATATACATATATATATATACATATATATATACATATATATATACATATATATATATACATATATATATATATATATATATACATATATATACATATATATATTTACATGTTATAGATACATACATACATACATACATACATACATACATACATACATACATACATACATACATACATATACATATATATACGCACACACACACATATATACATATATACATATATACATATTCGTGTTTAAATATACACATATATATATACACATATACACACATATATACACATTCACACACACATATATATACATATATATGTACACATACATATATATATATATATATTCACATGTATAAGCATATATATATATATATATGTATATATAAATATATGTACACATACATATATATATATATATACGTATATATATATATATACACACACGCAGTACCACACCCCCACCACACCACAGGGGGGGAGGGGGACAGTACTATGGCTGACCCATGACCATGGCGGGGGGGGGAGGGGGTTTGGAACGCTGGACCATATATACACATATAATCCACAGAAGTCATCAGAAGTCACTGGCCAACCTCACCATGTTTACGCTTGGGGATTGCGGAATCATGACGCCGCGCGATAACGGGGAATGTCCCATCAGGTGATGAACGAGCTGAGTGCCTTCATGTCCGTGATGGTCGAGGGAGCTGACCAGGTGCCATGGGATCATGATCCTTTTTGATGAAAACCCCCATGGGACCAGAGATTTTGGGCTAATTTAGGCAAGTTTTCGTGTTGATCATCCAGATTCTTTGGGTGCCCAATTTTGAGACAGAGAAAGTGATAATAAACATATTGCACACACTAGGAAATTGGGATTTTAAATTGTGAGGCTGACAGTAGACTGGAACCCTTCGAGGCATGGGTCAAGTCATATCACGTCATTTGGTACCTCCTAAATTTGATCTCAACAAAGACATCAACCGTTTGGGAGATTTGAAAAGCTTGCCCCAGGGCCCCAACCTGAAGTGTAAAACCTGGCAGTAGAACATGTATATAATCCCTTCCTCCTAATACTAAACGTCCCCCCTATTACTAAACACGGCAGGTAGCTTTTAGTGTTAGGGTGGTATTTATTATTAGGGAACCCTATTAATAAAATTAAACCTTTAATAATAATAACTATTTTTCCGATCTCAAAATCAAATAATTTTCTTTATATAACGCGATTAAAATATTGCCAAAAATCGGATTTCGAAGCTTCCCCCAATTAAAACCCTTAATAATAAAAACTATGTTTTCCCATCTCAAAACCAATTAAATTTCATTAAATTTCTTTGTATAACGCAATTAAAATATGGCCAAAAATTGGATTTCGAAGCTTCCCCCTAATACTAAATTAAACACCTTAATATAAAAACACCAAAAAAAATCGGACGGACCCTAATAATAAACACCCCGGGGTGAACTAGTTTTTAATATTGAGGGGGAAAACCCACAAATGGTAGCTTTATTTTTAAATTGTTTTCTAAAGGGGATCAATAAAAAATCAAATTGGCCAATCTGAAATTTTCAAAAATTGGAGATGGACACTAGTTTTTAGTATTTGGGCGGGGTTTAGTAATAGGAGGAAGGGATGATAAACCATCTATGCCCATCTACAGATGATTTTCCAATGATAAATGTGGAGATCACATGGCAGGGTTGGATAAGAGGGCGCAGTAATTCCCCACAAAACTAGAAGAGCAATCTACTCGTAGCATCTCATTTAGATTCATTTAATTACTGATTGCATATGATTATTTTCCGATTGGTAGGATTATTAAGTATCATTATTTATCACATAGCAATAGTATCCCAACGATTAAAGTTCCAGATGATACATTGTACCAATAAATGATGCAGTAACTAAGAACCTAATTTGTTTATCATCATTTATCATTGCTTATCTTAGTTATCATTATGTTTCAATTTATCATGAAATATTTATCTTAGCTATGCATTGTTTATGAATTATTAAGTTGCTGTTCTATCTGGGGGCCCCGCAGTTTTCCACTGGTTGATCCAGGTCTTCGAGGTGGTGAAGTCCAGAACCTCTTCGGAGATCGAGGCCGTCAGCAACCAGGTGCGGGTCGCCGCCTGAAATCTGCCATGAATGGTACCCTACGGTCGTTTTTTACATAGCAATGGGTCCACTATTTAAGTGGAATATTTTTCTGGAGGGGATGTCCCGTCTTTTGATTGCTATGTCTGATTGCCCTTAGTCTGGCGCTTTTGTGGCGCTATGTTGTTGGCTCCCACCAGACAGCTGCACATGGCTGCACCAGATCCACGCAGGTGGTCGATGCTGAAAAAGTGTGTGGCGGGTGATGGCAGGTGGAAGAAAAACTACTTGGGGCTGCAGTTGCGGTTTGAAAATGGCGATAACATGTGATAACCATGGTTATAAAGCCCAATATATTGGGATATAACTCTACAACTGTGATTATATAAGCCACTTGTTAGTGGAACTGCAGCCCCAAGTATATCCTACTGGTTGGTGGTCAATCCAAATTGACATGGAGATTGTGGTTTTTGCTGAAAGCCTGTGGGCCTGGTTTCCAATGGCTAGTTGATCCAGACTTGGGGATAGGGATTGAAACAACCAATCAGACAAGATTCACATCACCTTTGGAAATAGATGGCTAGGCGGCTAGGTTCTTTGATGAGTCATCACTAGTACAATGGGAAAGAACATGTAGTCAGTCGGAGTTTGGGGTTGCAGTGGTCCTGCAATGTTTGATCCATTGCTTGTTGATTATTAATGTGGATTAATGTACGGTAAACCTAATCATAGCATATCATAGCATCAGAATTGTTCACAATTCACGAAAAACCAGTTACTGTATATATTTGTATATATATATAGAGGTCAATAATGGGTGTGTGTATATATATATATATACACATACACGTAATATAGACAATCCCTTTGAATGGAGGTTTTGATTGAGTGAACCACATAATCCCCAGTCATGAGCTCAAGATTGTCTTCCGCAGCAGAAGAAACTGATGGTTTTTGAGAATCGACAGTGACGGCTCCTGCCCAGACACTCCAAGAGTTTACTCATCAAATAGTGGCTTGCCCCGGGGAATCCACAATTTTCTTGTTACCTGTTGGGACGCGTGAAATTTGAGGGCATCAATAGATAGTGAGTTTGTCTGAAAATGAGCTACCCCATTCCGTCTCACGGTTGATCATAATTTTTTCATGAAAATTGCCATAAACTTAGCATACCACCATTTTTTTCCGAACCGAAACACGAAACGAACCTTGGTGTCGTGGCCATGGCGGCGATGGCGAAATTGGAGGCCGCCCAACTGCACTCCTGGGTGGATCAGCTGCAGTCGGAGAATCAGCTGCTGCGGCGCCAGCTGGAGGACGACGAAGACGCCATGCTGAGCGCGGCGAGCGCCGGGGCCGAGGCAAAACGGAGACTGGGCTTGGTCCATAACTCCTGGGAAATGCTGGAATAACAAAGGATAGATATCGATAGATAAGAAATAGAAATGGTCTGTAATGGTTTTTGTCGTGGCAAAATGATTGTTGATTGTTTGGTTGAAGTGTGTTGGATTTACCTTGGTTTCTATTGTGGATCAAACTGATTTCACAACGATCTCACAAGACATGATGGTTAGTATATGCAACTCGTCGTATACAAGGGAAAGCACAAAAAATACTCCCAAGACAAATGAGAATTCGCCAAGTGTTTGTTTTCTGATAAAAGAATTAATGCAATCTGTCTAAGAAAATACACCCCCAAACATCCCCAAACGAAACCCTGGTGGAATGTCTTGTATCTATTCATTATATACATATATAATGATACATGTATACACACACAATTGGCCATCAACTAATGGTGAAAAACTACATGATAAACAGTCAAAGGCCATCTCATGTTGGGTAAACATCCATTGACTCCCAGAAGTGTTGGTTAATTATTTTCAATTCCCATCAACACCCCATGATTGGTGAATTCCCATTGAACCACCATATACGACCAATGTGGGCGTGCAAATCGTGGTACCCAATAGTTTATCGTAATTTTCCCCATTGAAACAAATCCCATGAATTCCCTATTTTTCAGTTTTTCTTCAGACACATCCATTTCTCTTACCCTCCTGTAAACTAACATAGATGGAAAACACACCATATGTAGATGATTGTCCTAGGCTATCACCATGGGTTTTCCACATCTTTTCGTAAACGTTTACTATCATTTTCCTGTGGAGGCCATTGGTTTTCTGCATCTTTTAGGGCAGTTTACCCCAGGGTAGCGTATCTTAGGAAGGGCCTGACGGTCCTCCTGGAACTGGCTGAGCCCTCTGTGGATCCCTCGCTGTTGCAGCTGCGCCGCGCCGCCCAGCGTCTGCTGGCGCGGGAGGAAAGCAGCGCCGGGGCACAGCGCATGCCACAAGCGAAAGTGCAGAAGTTTCTGAGAAGTGGCTCGGTGATGCCAAAAGAATCCAAATGGGTTGGTATGCACTGTACATATGGTCGTTCTTTGAAGAATGAGATGATGCATCTCAAGATCCACTGGATGTGACTTCATGGGATGTTTTGATATGTTTTCCATATTTGGGCCATATATCATAATCATGGGGGCATGAAATTTCCTTCGGGGGGGTTTAAGTCATTTGGGGGATGGCAATTCTGATGGAATTGAGGTTGTTTGAAGCAAGAAAACAAGACATATACTGGCGGATGTTGGGAAATTGTAAGGTTGATAGGGATGATCTTACCATCCCCCAAGACGATCAACCATGGTTATAGGCTTAATTTATACACCAGTAGGACCGCACAAGGCGGTGATAGAAACCTATAGGAGACGTAAGTTGCTGTGACGCATGGATGGCAGAACGAACTAATGGATCGAAAGGTGGTTGAGGCTCTGGCTCGCTCTCTCTCTCTCTCTCTATCTGTCTATCTATCTAACTAATCTATCTATCCATCCATCCATCCATCCATCTATCTATCTATCTATCCATCCATCCATCCATCTATCTATCTATCTACCTATCTATCTATCAATCAATCTAATCTAATCTAATCTAACCTAACCTAATCTAATCTAATCTAATCTAATCTAATCTATCTATCTATCTATCTCTTCATCTCTCTATCTCTCTACCTCTCTACCTCTCTATCTCTCTATCTCTCTATCTCTCTATCTCTCTATCTCTCTATCTCTCTATCTCTCTCTCTCTCTCTCTCGCTCTCTCTCCTCCCTCTCTCTCTCTCTCTCTCGTTCTTTCCTTCCCTCTCTCCATCTCTCTCTGTCTTTATCTATCTGTTTGCTTGTTTATTTGTTTTTCTATCTCGCCGACTCTCTGTCTCCAACTCTCTCTATCTATCTCTCAGTCTCTATCTCTCAGTCTCTATCTCTCTCGCTCTGTCTCCTTCTCTCTGTGTCTTTCTCTCTCCCTATCAATCTATCTATCTGTCTGTCTGTCCGTATGTCTATCGATCGATCTATCATGATCGATCGATCGATCGATCGATCGATCGATCGATCTATCTATCTATCTATCTATCTAGCTTTCTATCTATCTAGCTATCTATCTGTCTGATCTTGTTTCTCACTATGCCTGCAGCTGTGTCCATCCCTTTCTCTGTTTCTTTGTCCATGTCTCCCCATCTCTGTATCTCTCTTTTGCCCTATCTCTCTATATCTCTATCTCTCCAAAATTCTCTAACATTCTCTAACATTCTCTAACATTCTCTAGCATTCTCTAACATTCTCTAACACTCTCTAACATTCTCTAACATTCTCTAACTATCTATCTGTCTCTCTGCATTTCTCCTTCTGTGCATCCATCCATCCATCCATCCATCCATCCAGCTAGCTAGCTAGCTAGCTACTGTATCTATTTACTTGTGTGCTGTATATATATATATTTTTTCTCTCTCTCTCTCTCTCTCTCTCTGTCGATCTATCTTTCTGCCTGAAAAAAGCAATCCCGAATCTTCGTAATGAAATGGAAGTGCCCACCTCCAAAACGAAGCAATTCTGCGAGCACCCATAGTCTTTTTAACATGTTGACTTCAAAACGTGCTTCGCGCCGCAGTCGAGTGCAATTTTTCAACAGCTCACTTGCCAAAAGTGCTCCGAACCCGAGGTGTTTTTGTGCTTCACGCCACAGCCGTGTGCAATTTTTCAACAGCTCACCATGTGCTTCGCGCCACAGCGAAGTGCACTTTTTCGACACCTCAACTTCCAAAAGTAGTCCGGAACCGATGTGTTTTTTGCAATTTCACATTAAAATCTGCTTCGCGCTACAACGGCGTGCAACTTTTCATCTCTCATCTGACCACATGGCTCCGCACCCGCCGCTTTAGCGAGCCTACTTTTCGAGCCTCCGGCGCCACAAAACATTGAAAAACACAGTGTTTCACGACTTTTGTACCTTTTCACGCGCTTTCCGCTTCTTTCTTCTGACTCTTTCTCTTCTCTGCTCTTCTTTCTTCCTCCTTTCTCTCCTCTGACTCTTCCCACCTCTGCTGCTTCATCTGTCCATATTGCCGGAAGTTTGACTTCCAAACTTCCCTCGGATATCTCAAGATTTCCCAGCCACAGGTGCAGATGCGGCGATGGCGCAAGACTTTGAAGCCGCCAAGTTGCGTCAAAGTGCTCTGGCCATGCAGCTCGAAGTGCAGCGGTCCGAGCTTCAGGTGCTCCGCGAAAAGCAGAAGCGCCACGAAGAGATTGTGATTCAAGAACAAGATCGACACTTGGTATCTGGGTGTGTCTATAAAAAAAAATTGGGTACATGCACCAAACATATCCCAATATATGATAAATATTATATAGCCAAAAATCCTGATTGGGGGAAGATGATGACAGTTAGGTTTTGGGATGTTTTGGGGCACCCTATGATCAGGCAAAATCATACGTTTGGATTGCGGTTTTCTTCCTAATTTGATACAATATATATTGATATTGTGAGTTTATTTGGTTTCCAAAGTTTCTGCCATATCTCTGGGACATGATTCCAAGTCAGGCCATATCTCTGGGCCTTGGGGTTCCACGTTGCTGCCCTGTGAGGATATGATGCGGTGGTGGCGGAGAGAATGAAAAAAATCCAGCTTGAACTGTACCAATTGGATCAAGAAACAACCCAGCTGTCTTCAGAAGTGACTTCCAACGGTGGCTGGGCACCAGGACACGGGAGACTGGAAGTTTTTCTGGGGTCCCGCTTGGGAATTATTTCATCTGGACATGCCATGGGATTGCTGCAGCCCTGGTGTTGGTCAAAGTCCAGAGTTGTTGTTCCCCGCAATCGAAATTTGATATACTGTAGTTATAGTTTCATGATTCTGAAGCAGATCCCAATTTGCATTATGAGTTCCACCCTGCTTCTTTAAAAAAATCACCATCTCCACCTTCTAAGGTCCCGCTACAGAGGCGCTTCATCGTTTATTGAAATTTTTAACTCCAGACAGCCTTTGTCGTGACGTGCTGTGGCGATGGAGATGTTTGTTGCCTCCATGATCTGGGAAAAATCAGCCGAACGAGTTGAACTGCACGAGTTCCTTTGTCACGGTTGTTAGCATTGCCGCCTAATGTTTTTTTTGGGAACCTCAAATGTCAAAGCCAATCCTCTGTTTAAGTATTTTCACGTCAATTACCCCTGATTATTTAACATAGCTGTGGAAAATTGCCCATTTATAGAGGATAAACATGATGATTTACCTATTCAAAATGATGATTTTCCATATTGAAATTACCAAAGTGCGTCCTCCACACCACGTGTCGGGTGTGGATCAGCTCGGGTGTGTGGTGAACTAGGGTGGACTGCAGAGATATTCGGAGACTATGATGTAATAATTATGGGCTGCTGTAATATGGTGTAATAGTATAATATTCTCATATATTCTCCGAATAGTAATAGTAAACTGGGGTTTCAGATTGCATCAAAAATGCATATAGTATTATTAGACAATCAAAAAAATGGGATTTGATTTAACCACAAATTGGGCCAGATAAAGGTTGAAGTCGCAGCCAACTGGAGTCCGCTGGAGATCTGCAGAGGGCTTGGCTATGACAAGGAGAGATTTGGATCCTTGCAGACCGCTAAGAAGTTCAGCTAAATTAAGTGTGTTTCTGCTTAAATACATCATTAAAACTTTGATGGGGCCAGTTTCTACATAAAAGCTTGGGGTGGCCCGGTGCTGAACACATACGTGAAAATATGGGAAAATCAACTTCCATGTCCATCCATCTTCTAGTTGAAAAATGTTGAGGCCATGTCTGAAGAATAAGAAGTTCCTCTTTGGACAGACTGGCAGTTTGATTCCCGAGGAACTAGAGGACGGTGAATGAGAGCGACAGATAGGAATCATGAGTGGCTGAGCGGAAAACAAGAGGCTCACTAGGATACTTTGGCGGGGTAGAGCCGATTTCTAAGCAACAATAATGCAGAAGCAAGAGTGGGCATTTATACGCTTGTAGCTGGTTCTTAGTGTGCACTGTGTCAAATCTTGGGTGAAGCCAACAACCAGACATCCTTGGGGCTGGGACGACTGAAGTGAACATCACCGTATATCGACTGCAATCCTTGGCTCCAATCACTTGAAGGAGGCATTGCTTTTGATTACATACAATGATAATTCTGCACAGTCTCCCAATCACTGACCGTCTGAACCTCCAAATCAGCCAGCGGCTTTTGCTTAGGCCAGTTCGTGCTCGTGATACCCACCTATCACCAGCAGAATTCAACCAGCATTAACCATTAGACATCTTCCCCGGGCGCATGTTGGCCTTAAACAACGGCGCTGGCGTGGCAAGGCCGCCAACCCCCACCGTGAGCCAAACGCCCGTGTGGCGCCAGGCGCCCGTGTGGCGCGTGGGCGGAGCGATGGCCGCAGCGCTGGTGGTGAGCTGCCACAGGACGCATGCACCCTGGCGGCAGTGCTTGTATGCCGAGGCAACGCAGAAGGAGGACTGGTGGGTGGTTTATCGTGGTTTATCATGGTTTATCACGCCGCAAATTTTGATGTTTTTGATCTTCTATCAAGACTCGGGATAGGGCATGAAACGCATGAAAGTGGCTGAAAGCACATTCATTAGAGGAGTTGGAGTTGGAGAAGGTACTTTTGGTGATTGCAGACGAGATTCTGAGCCTGGTGCCAGTGGTTGGTCCCTTGAAAGATGCCAAGCGAGCAGCAGAAGACGGACAGCTTGGGGAATATTGTTTCCATCTGGTCATGCTGATTTGCGATGTCACGCCAATGGCCTTGGCTAGTGAAGCAGCGAGAATGACCAAAGCGACTTCTGAAATTGCAAAGTTGGTGCGGAAGGGTAAGAAGGGCTACTCGTTGAGGAAGGTGGCTGCGACAGCCAAAAGGCTCTCAAAGCGCTCAAAGGATGCACGCAAGGCAGAGGAACTGACCGATGGGGTCAGAATGGTATTGCGTATGATTCCCAAGATTTGCGAACGATTGCAGAAGGAGGAACCTGCCAAAATACAGGAAACGGAAAAACAATAACGCAATGATGAGAGTCAAAATTATCTTCTTTTCATGTACAGGATCTTTCTTGTACGGCAACACAAAACAGTTTCAAATCGAAGAAAACCCTGGAAACCCTCGCACTGGGGCAGCGCTGCCCCGCAGACTTGATTGGTGAAAAAGAAGCCAAAAAAGTAAAATAAAGGATTCACCCATTAACTAATTCAATGTCTTCGACGCTGTGTAGTTACCTTTTTGAGCTGCTGATTAGCACATTTACACTAGATAATGACCTTGATCCTCCCTTGACACCATATCCTGGAAATCATGGCGAATTAAAGAAAATCATGTCGAGTTTTGGGGGTGCATATATCTTCAAGTTTCTTGGGTGCCCCCATTGCATCTCCAAGCCAATATTCTCCCTTTCACCCACGCACTTGCAGAGCCACATTGCTTGTGTCCGATTTTCAAGCTTCTAGTAAGATCGTCTAGCAGAAAAACTGAAAAAAAAGCTTTGCCTGATTGGAAAACAAAAAGAATTACCACTTTTCTGGTTTTGCGGGCGTTTGCAGGGTATTTGCGGGTGTTTTGCGGGGCGTTCTTGTCGTAAAAAACGTCTTTCAGTGGCTTTTGTGGTATTTGCGAATCATTGCGCTTTCAGAATCCATTTAGGATGCCACAAAGCTCCTCGGTGCTCTGCGGAGCAAATCTTAATTTGCCTAATGCATCTTGATTTTCCAAGTATTATATAATGGTTCGAATTGATAGCAAATAAACTGCAATACCAGAGTGGCAGGCCAAAAAGTTGTAGAATGGCTGCAAACCAGTTCAAACCATGGGAATAGGTAATTCTTGTCAAGATAGTCATTTGCACAAAAAACTTAGCGATTTAGGCAAACAAAAAAACTACAAGAAAATTCTTCCCGTTGGAGGTTCCAGATATCTAAATATAACACATGCCCTGGAAGTCCAATGTTGATGTTTACCGACGCATTGGATTAATGTCGAAATTTACCTTTGCATTTGTGGAACGTCGATGTTTACTCATCAACGTCGATGTTTACCCTTGAGACATATGGTGTAGCAAATTTCTCAAACTTTTCTACTGCTGCCGAACCTGGATTTTGGACATGTTTCACTAGTTAAACTCATGCGATATTACTTTGAGTCATATTGGGCACATACTTTCCCTAAGCATTTCGTCTATTTTTTACAACCATTTGTATGTTTGCATGAGAGCGGGCGTTTTGCCCTCGATCCCCTCAGACTCAATCTTGAAAGCAAACGATACCATGGGAGAGGTGTGGAACAAAGGCCAGTCGTGGAATTTGTTGGCATCCGGGTGACCAGATTGGTTAAACAAATACAAGAACCACATATGTTCTGGGGATGGAATGGGGAAGCCCTTTTCCTCGGGTAAACATCGCATTTCACGGGTAAACACGGTATTTCAGGCAAACTTCACGGGCACTTGGCGCTATATTACGCTAAGGACTTTTTGGGGTTTGTATGGTCCTTCGGTGGCGTTATTGAGTTCTTTGGGTATTGTGTCATATAAATTTGTAGTACAATAAACATATGGCATGAGCGGTATGCATTTATAGGAGTTGCAATTTTCTAAGAACGTTTGCGGTCCTATGTTTTGACTCTAAATTCTCACGTAAAGTATGCACGGACGGGATTTGCAAATTATTTCCAAGGGCCCCTAGCATTGGGAAATTGGAATAATAAATGTGTATATATATGTATATATATTTTGCACTTCTAAATTTCATTAATTTATTCGTACGGGTTTAATATTAATATTGAAAATATCGATATTTAACTAACCCAAATATAATATATAAATATTATTCGCATAGGAGGTAAGCTTTAATATTGATGCCATGTTCAGACCCATGTTCAGACCCATGTTCAGAAATAAGGTTGCCTTTGAAAAGTGACCTCCTAATACTAAATATGCTTTAGGAGGCTTGGGGTCGTACAGAAATAAGGTTACCTTTTATATAAAAGAAGACCTTAAAGGTAACCTTATTTCTGAATACGCATCTGAATGTGCGTGCGTACATGTACATGAACGTGCGTGCGTGCATGCGTACGTACGTGCGTACATGCGTATGTGCGACCCCTTCATGCGCCCTCAAGGGGGTGGGCCCGCCCTTAAAATTGCACGGGTTTCGAATACCAACAACTTTGTACCAGTATTCTTGGGTTGTATAGTAGGTGTACAATAATTTCGGCACAGGTTGACTGTACTAATTATCACCAGGCAAAACAAGACTAGTCGAATTGTTCGCCCGTCCGCTCGCCCCCTCAGCTCGCCCCCCCGCTCACTCGTGCAGGCGACGTTCGTCCACCCGTTCGCCCGCATGTTCGCCCCTACGTTCGCCCCCCCGCTAACCCCTCGTGCGATTTTCAACATATCCACAGCAGCGAGTTTTTGAGTTTAGCTAATATATATATAAAATTATATATATTATATTTAAATATATTATATATTTATATATATTTATTTAATTTATAATTTATTTAAATATATTACGAAGAATTATATGGTTTAGTTATTGGTTGCGAGCATAATGAATTTAGGTAATTTGGGGAAATATTTAATAATTAAAAATTAAATAACGGAAATATAACTAATTATTTAGTAGAATATATAATTATTTAATGAGATTTGTAGTGTATTAAATTTTAATTTTTGATGGATTTTATATTTGGATTTTGTTATTGGGTTGAGGAAGAAATTTTGGATATTGATTTGATAGGAATATATATTTAAAAAATATATATTTGGATTATTGATGGATTTTATGTTGTTGGTAAAAATTATTTAAATATTATAAATTTTGTATTATAAAAATTATTTTATTATAAAAAATAAAAATATATAATATATTAGTTTTTGTTTTTTTCGGTAATAATAACTAATATAAATTTAAAATATTGTATATTTATGTCTTATATTGCTATTAAATTAATATATTTATTATATTTAGAATTTTAATAAATATATTATAATATAAAATAAATATTTTTTGTATTGAAATTTTAATTTTTAAAAAACATATATATATTTATTTTATATTGTAATTTGAAATTTTCGAGCTCGTAAATTTACTACCGAAATTATCTGGAATATTAAGGTAATATTTGTGCGAAATAAGGAATTTAATTCTGAATGGATCTTTTTATTAAGGAATTTAGAAAAAAATATGTAATTAAATAATATTGGAGGAAAATATTGATATAATATTTATTATTTATTTAAAAATATTTAGAATAATATTGGACAGGATTTGAGGGATATTCGGATTTGAATAAATAATTTATATTAAAAATTTATAATACCCTAACGCTCCCGATGGAGCATGGGGCGTCATAGTCACCGGGGCGTCGTAGGAAACATATATCATTGATGGACAACCCTGCAGGGGTCAGTACACCCCATGATACTCCGACCCTTCATAGGGACACCCCCTCAGAAGATAACAACATGGTTCTAAGGTAGTTGATGGTAATGGAGATGTTTTCAATTGAAATTTGAAAGTCAACCTTTGGCCAATTTGGTACCTCCCAAACTCCCAGCTGGTCCACCCGCAATTTCTTTGCTCTGCAAGCGGTGATGGAGATCACTAGATGATCCCTTGGAGCCTCGGCTGGAAGCCTGTGGGCGGGAGATGCTATGGAGATTGCAAATGCAATCCGAGCAGGAGGATATACCTCTGCAAAACTCTAAGGGATAACGACGATCTGTGACATGTTCTTGAAATTCTTCCGATGACCCCTATAAAGGACTCAGCACACAGTAAGGTATAGAACCTTGGGTTGATCAGGGTCTCCTTGACGTCATCCAACAAATGCTGAAAATGATGATGTTTGGGCAACAAGCGCCAAAGGGCGCGATTGCGTTCATGGGCCCCCCTTGTGGCAGCACTTTTGGCATTTAGATCTGAATACAGCTGAAGATGTTCATGACCACGGTCAAAAAACTCTTGTCCTTCAGATGGCGTGAGCAAAACATCAGATTCGTCCATCAAGCGCAAAACCTCAGTGTAAGCCCACGCGCAATTTGCAACCTCCCTGTCCAAGTCCGTAGCATCCGCTCTGGATGCCCAAGTAATCAACCTTTCGGAAAGCCAAAATGAGATAGCTTTGGATGCTGCAGCTTTTGAACTCAAGTTGGGGTATGCATTCCTTGTGGGCCTTCCAAGGCGGCTTACAGTGAAACGAGGTTGGGTCACATTGATTCCCCTTTCCTTCTTCCAAGCGTTGAAATCCTCATATGCACTGCGTAACGCATTCTCCATCGCAAAACGGTACAGCCCGTTCCCAAAGGGCCCAAATGCTCCACCCTCAATAAGATATGTCAGACAACTGCCATTTAAAGCTTTGCCAGTCCCAAGAAGCTGGCTATGCATGACGTCGTGCAACACCCTCTCTAGCCGAGATCCTGGAATGGAAAAGATCGGGTTGAAATTCGCAGGCTCTACCTCCTTCAGCGCAAAAAAATCATCATGACTCAAACGGGTGGCCCGGTGAGCAGCATGCAACCCAAAGTCACCAATTGTCATAGAAAGGTCTGGGTCAGATTTCTTGACCAAACATCGACTACACACTTCATTCTGCCGAAAATTGTGTAGCTGAAATTTCTCTGTCACCCACTTCAGGTCCCCTTGGGTGCTGCTGTAAGAGAAGGTATACCCTTTCTGGGACCAAGGGTGTTCCATATTTGGATCACACATCTTTGCAACCCGTTCTGCAACATGCGCCAAAATTTGCTTGTGGGTATTCTCAGTGCAGTAGTGTTCACAAATGCAACACATGCAGAAGTAGCGACTCAATGGTGTTTGTCCATGCCCAAAATCACTGGACCAACCCAAAACACTGACCACTCCACCCTCCGTATTGCGAAAAGATTGTACCTCATCGCCATAAAGAGAAAATGGAATCATTTTTCCCCAATGCGCAGCATCCACATTTTGGGAAGGATGGCCGTTGAACCAACTGCAATGTGCTTCCACATGTTTCCAATATTTTTCTGCATCGACATTTCCAATGAATAGCTTCTTGAACAGAGCTTCGCTTTCAGCAAAAATTGCACTTGCAAAGGTGTCCGGGAAAATTATCGGTAAATTCCTCATGGATGTTCTTTGAGTCTTCGGGTCATACATCTCGACCCGGCAAGTTTCAATAGGAATGTCCAATGAAAGCCCATGTCTTTTGATAAGCCGTTGAAGGTCACGCTCGCTGTTCTGAGGGCTTTTGCCAGAGTTGCCAATAGCAGCAATTTTTCTGATAATATCATCTTGGGGCACATTACCAGAAACACTTGCACAAAGTTTGATGGCCGCTTGTGCTAGCTCTTGCGCCTTGATTTTCATATAATCAACCCTTCAAATTTTGATATTTCATAATCAAACCCTTAAAATATATATCATGTATCGCTATAGGTATATAAGGGTATCTCAACAGGCTGAACCAAGAATCCCATTCACCCCAAAAAAGTGATTTGTGGGTACCATCAAAAACCAAATTTGTTGGATCAACCCAGGCACTTTCACAGCGCTCATCTTACCAGATGCAAAATCGTTCAAGAGGATATTGGCCAAATCACTTGAAGTTGTCGTACTTCTAGATGACGAGGCTTGAACGGGTTCCTGCCGGCCAGTCTTCATGGATTATGAGTGTACTACCCATGGGTGATTTCCCTTTAATTTTGAAATATCAATGATGCAACAAATAATGGTATGGATGGCTGGCGGGTCCTAATAGTGACAACATTCTTCAATGCATGATCATGACATGTATGGTTGATATATGTTTCCGTTAATGGGGTTATACTTACTCCACTTCCACATCGCTCCTGGGAACGGCCAGCAAGCCGAGGACACTTGGATGGCTTTGCCTGCTGGATGGCACACAGAAGGACAGGATGGATGGGCTGATGGATATGGACAGTGCATGCATGATACAAATGGGATACCATCTAACTCCTTGGATGTAAGGTCTGGGTATGATGATCCATAATTATATAGTTCAGGTTCACCAGATCACTGGACCATTCCCCAACATTCAAAGTTGGCCTGCTCATTTCGTGCATGGTCTCTGGCATCTTGGATACCTGCGTGGGAGACACACAAACACAAGAAAAACATGTGGCCCAAAGAACATAGGTTGATAAAACCGAATCCTAACCTGACCTGACATTGAAATATCATATGAAGTCAAGATTGTTTTTGTCTCCGCACATGATGGACTCACGTGATCAACATCTTCGTCGTGTGGAGTTCACACGATGGAACCTGGTGAAATCAAAAGGTGTCATGCTTCTATGGCCTTTTGCTGCATGTATACAACAAATGTCCAAGTGTATACTTTGAAGTGCATGTTGACATGCGAATGCCGTTTCATGGCAGCATCATCCGCATGACTCGACCCCGGAAATGATCTGCCGACTGAGCAAACCAATTTCAAACCCCTGCAGGATCTGGTGATCACTGCTCATTCTCGTCAAGCGCCTGTTGGATGCAGGGGGGATGAAGGGATCTGTGGTCAAGTGTAACCACACCTATATGTTGTGCGGAATCCTATGTAAACCTACTATAATATCATAAAAAAGATTGAATGTTTTTCTTTTTTGCAATGTTAGGTGTATATCATATGCATATCTTTGTTGATTGATTGGGGTGATTTGATACTTGCATATGGATGCACGAGACTTCTCACGTTGATTTCATAATTTAAGTATATGGAGGTTAAACTGTACAATATAGCCATATACAATCCGTTTTGTCACTATCCACGTTCGACGAAGATCATAGATATTTTTCCTGCTATATATAGACAATCAATATATTGGATATTTAATTCAAAAAATGATATGCATATCATTTTTTGAATTAAATATCCAATATATTGATTGTCTATATATAGCATGGCCAGGAAATTAAACATATCTGCATCGATGATCGAACCCCGCCTCAGTGGCCTCAGCGGCCTCATTCTTCTTCTTCTTGCCCCTGCCACGGCTCAAGGCATTGGCACCTGAGCGGTCTTCCTCAAACAACTGCTGTCGCTGCTTGGCAAGCTCAATCGCTGCCCACATGGTATCGTTGGGAACGACATCCTCGCCCTGGTCAGCCAGGGCATAAAAGGGCTTTTGGCAACAAATGTTTTCAATAAATCACATGAAGGACGTTCCCTGTCAATGGTGGTCTTGATTATCCCCAAATAAGCTCATTTAACAAGTTGGTATTCAAATGAATTGCATAACAACGCAATTCAAGTATAGTTTTGGGGAAGTAGGCACCTGACGAAGGTAGTTCTTGATTTGCTGATAGCTCGATTCCAACTCTGTCGCATGGTTTGTAAGCTGCTCACCTTGGATTTTTTGTGGAATCTCATGATGGAGCTATCCATTGAAATTGACACTGCATCAGTTGAAATCATCAGTTTGGGGCAACATACATAATCGAGGAACACAAGGCGCTCTGATGCTTGAGATGGCCAATCTTCAAAGGTAAAAGCTTAGCATCCGAAAGGTCCTTCAAGATCTTAGGGAGCAACCACTCCCCTGCCGGAAAGGGTTCCTCCGGCATAGGCCTCAAGAGAGGTTACCCACATGTAATCAGAAAGGGAACAGGTACCTCGCAAATCCATGGATGGTTATTCATATCTTCAATGAACTAAAGGGTACAAATACTATATATATAGACTATATTATCCGATTGTAAAACATGAATAACAATCCATGGATTTGTGACTAGCTTGGTAGGCCCGCCATTCAAAGTCATCCCCACGCTTGAAGACCCCTTCCGCAGAATGGATAGATTCCAAAGAAATGTTCTCAACTGATATGATGAGAATAACTTACATCAACATGGCCCCTATGGTAGCACCAAATTAAAGTCGGGGATCTTTTTTGGCCTCTGCTGCCGTTCATTCTTGGAAAGATCTGTGGTCGGACTTTGGTTGCTCTGCCCAGGGGTGCCATTGCCATTGCCTTCGGAACCAGAAGGCTGGGGAAGGGCACGGGGTTGGTTGGCCACATTGTTCAGCAAGTTGGCGCTGTCTGGGACCAGGTGCTGCGCAGCCTGCACCAGGAGCAAATATATGATATATATATATATGGGATATATAGGAATGTGTGGGGAAAAACTTATTCATATCAAACGCATTTTGTTGGATAGCTAGCCTCTGATTCTGGGTCAAGATCTCCTTCAGCCCTAAGCTCAACTCGGTCTTCTGACTAGTCTTTGTGAGAATAGCTGAGCTCTGTCATCACCTAGGCTGCATGCAAGAAAATTGCTGGTCTACCACGGTGATTGTTTCATGTGACTCAAAGGTAACACATGTTATGAAATTGTAGTGGGGAACATGTGTGGCAGCCACTAACTTCATGCAGGGTGCATAGTACAACGTCATAGATGCATCATTGGGCATATCAGGGTGTTCTCTGAAAAGACCAGCATGGGTCTTAGCTGTGATCAACTGGTCCACCACAGGTCGATTGTTGTTGTACATCATCATCAGCTGGTCACGTGTGCACCAGCCTCAGGCGACCAGTGGCAATTGGGAACAGTGACAGAAAACAGGTCATACCATGATATTGTATTTAAATATGCACCACATAGATCTATGAAATTCATGTATATGCACATGCAATATATTATTCTTTGGGACTCCAAAGGTTGGGCCACTACCTATGTTTGACTGACAGACACCAAGTAACCCATCTTTTTCTTCCCAGTTTCGATCTCTGATCTTGATCGGGTCATCGACACACGGATCCTCAATTTGAGAATTGGTTCAACTATATTCCATTGAGTTCTAAAAAATGTTGATCATATGTTGATCATACAGAATTTGATGAGATGCAGTAGGTGTGCAACCAAGTGTCAACCCCCAGTTCCCGCCAGCTTCACACCATTTCTGAAACAACTGGTTTTTGGCTGTTCGACTCCTGGATCCAACAGCCTCTTTCCAAGCAGTGATAAACTCAACGGGGATGCTCGGGGAGGGAATGTCTTTGTCAATCTGCCTTTTGAAGACCATATATTGTTGTTGCCTGGCTTTGTAGTCTTGGGGGGTCTCCAAAGGCGCTGCACCAGGAGCCACCTGAAAAGTAGAGGCTTGGGCAGGGGCAGGTGGAGGAGGCATTGCCACTTGTTTTGCTTGCGGTGCTGGCTTTGCTGCTGCTGCTTCGGTTGCCGGCTTTGCTGGCGGTGCTGGCTTTGCTTGCGACGCTTGCTTTGCTTGCGACGCTGGCGTTGCTTGCGACGCTGGCGTTGCTTGCGACGCTGGCGTTGCTTGCGACGATGGCTGTGCTTGCGACGCTGGCTTTGCTTGTGGCGGTGTCTGCACGTTTGCCTTTGACTCTGCCGGTGCCGGTGCTGGTGCTTGCTTTGCTACTTCCGCTGCCACTGGTTGATTCTGCTCACCCTCAGGTGGAGCACTGGGTGCAGTAGCGGCGCGGGCTGCTGTGGCAACAGGTCTGCTTGTTGGCCCTGCTTGTTCTTTCTTCACATGTTGCGATGGCACAGGGGGAGGTGCGGGGGATGGCATTTTGGGTGGAGCGGGGATGTTGGCTGTAGGCGGTGATGCTTTCTTGTTGGGTGTGCTATCTTCCGTGGGCATCTCACGCTTGACTGGTGCAGCACCTTTGGGGATGGCTGAAGGCAGTGGCTGGGACTTAGACTGGGCAGGTTGGACAGGGGCACCAGACTTGGGCGGCGGTGGTGCTGACGGCTTTGGAACAGCAAATGTCTTAGGAAAAGGAACCCCAAGCTGTTCTTCTGGTTTCGCAACACCTCCGCTTTTGCGGGCTGCTGGCAAACCATCCTTTTGGGCCATCCTAGCTTTCTTCTCTGGCTGAGATCCCATCTCCAACGGCTGGTCGGGATTGGAACCCTGAACCACATCAAGTGAATACGCAGAAGCACTTCGCACTGGGGTAGCTTGCCTAAGCTAAAATCACCAACAGTGTTTGTTAGATTAGTAATGCACTATGATTGAGTTTGCATCAAACTTCATAAGATAAGCAACGTTGTTGGTTCCATTCCCTCAAAGGATAAAGTTGCCCTGCACAATCCAGGCGAGGGCTCCGTATACGGAGAAACTGTCGCCTGACGCCATGTTTTTTAATGACAAGAAAATTCAAAAAAACAGGTTGTACATATCGGGACATATGCACACAACATATGCATACACCTTTCATTGCCTAGGTGTGGGTTGTGTATTTGCGCCCCACCTGGCCTGGTCCTGAGAGTCATTGGTCCAAGGGACTGTGGTCTGGCTGTCCGAAGCAGGAAATTCCTCCTATGAGGCAATGTGAGGGGAACTATCATAGGCATATAGAATATCACACGTAAACAATGACAAGCATAAAGTCATTTAAACAAATGTGAAATTCACTCCTTGGATACCATAGTTGGAGATGAAAACACGGGTCGCCGGGTTGGTGGTGTTTCCAAGACAGAAGGATGATGTTGGGCTTCGTCATCGGAAAGCACCTCCCATGTTGACGTTGAAGTCGACTGGTATGGGTTAAATATGAAACGAGACCGTTCAGAGGAAAGACACTGCATTACTATTGTTGATGATGGGTTCAAACTATGTAATTATGGGATATATAGTTTATATATACTTGTTGGGTTGACTTTTGAGCTTTACCTGTAGCAAGAATCCCATGCTTAAGTTCACACCCCAGCCTTGAAGGGCCTGCTTGCACCAGGGTACTTTGCGAAGAAGTTCTTTATACGGACATGGTAAGGAACTGGTGCATTTTTGGTGGCCTCCACACAACACATGCCAACATTCTTGAAGGAACCAATTGAAAATTTGAAACATAAGTTGTCCAAATGATTTCATATACCCTAAGCACCCACTAAAGCCCAGCCCTGTGAATGGAGCCCTTTCAATTTTTGGGGAATGACCCATATGATGATGGTCGGTTGAAAACAAATTCCCAGGGTAACCCTAAAACAGTGCCTCTACAACCGTAGCAGCTGGACTTGCACTAGGCTTCGCCATGGCCATGGCCGTTACTCCCAAGACTTGACTTTAAATTGCTATGATCACATATGGTTTCATCATGGTCCGATGATGGCAAACCCCGATAATCTAGTGTGACTGCCCGATAGAGTCCGATAGCGTCCGATAATGTTGATTACATTACGGAAAAGTCTATCCGACGCTATCCGACGCTATCCGACGGTCGGGGCGTCGATAGGCCTTTACTTGAGGGGTCCCGATAGCCTATCCGACGCTATCCGACGCTATCCGACGCTATCCGACGGTCGGGGCGTCGATAGGCCTTTACTTGAGGGGTCCCGATAGCCTATCCGACGCTATCCGACGGTCACACTAGATGCCCCCAGGCCTCCAAGTTCATTCCCACGACTGCCGGTGCTCCCAGTGGAACAGGAAGGTGTGAACAGGTTGGCACAGGAAACAATGATCACCCTCATCATTGGGTCGGTATCCATGAGTTTTGATAGTGGATCCCATGAATGACCCATGAATTTCAATTGTGCAACATCAAAAGCAAAGAGTGCGGCTGACAACTAGATGAGATCCATTGAGATTCCAGATAGGTCCCCATGTTATTCAAATTGTAAAGGTAAAAACCCTAAGTTGAAAACCATTTGAACTGAACACATATCCATTGTATTGAGAAACATTTCGGGGAATATCGGTTCAACAAGCCATGCTTCTTTTTGTATGTCCTTCCCTGAGTGAAGCGTCCATTGGATCGCCAGTGTGGTGATCAGCACTGCCCCGTTTCGAGTCACAATTTCTTTGGGGTAATATCTTAAGGACCAAATATGGTTTGAACTTTGCCAGGGGGTGAAGCATCACAGGTGTAAGCTCGGATAACAAGCTTTTTAATTATGGGAACAAAAGTCAACAGAGCCCCTAGTGGACCCAATTTAAATTTGATGGGATCGCTTGCAAGCTTTCCGCTCACGTTGCCGCTTCAGAAAAAGCTGATGCAAGTACTCCTCAACTTCATGAAGCCTGAGCTGTGTGTGGTTTTGGTCTATATAGTATAATCAGCGGTAAATGGAATCTTTTTTTTTGCATGGGGCAAACAGCGTATTTGATCCGATGATGGGTTTAGTGGGGTGATCCCTCCTTACCTAGACATGTCCAATATAGCTACATATGATTACATATGTGGGAAATTCCCAATGACCTAGTTCTCCCAAAAGGTTTGAGACAATATCTTAAACACCAATGAATTTAATCATTTTTTTTTCTGCATGAGACCCATTTTTAATACCCAAACAATGATGAAAATATTCAACATTTCTGACTTATTGGAACAGCTCCAAATTCAAGCATGTAGCTTTGCATCATCCCACGGGTCCACAGAATAGTCCACCAAAGTATCTGGTTGAGAAATCTTAGAGGCGTAGAGGTCAAAGTTCCGAGCAACCTGAACGGGATGGTTTTAGTGCTCCCCCATAGGACTGAAACCATGGCTGGGTTACATGACTAGAATCCCATACAGCTTATCATGTTCCGGGTGGTGAACCATGCCCACATCATGAGGTCGCTGACAATGTCCCATACGGTGCCGGTTGCACTATTATGGTCGGGCACTAAGTCTATAGCGGCCAGGCCACCTCACGCCCAAAGGATGGTGGATATACTTGGGTCGATTTTAAGCCAGGTCCACCATGAAATCTCCAAATGCCCAATGCATTCTGATACCGTACTGTGGTTGGCCCCCCTGGACCTCCTCCGACCAGTTGCGAACGATCAAATCTCCTGCGAAGGACAGGTTACAATTCCTTGGGTTCAATGGACTATATCCCTTGAATGGGGGTTTCAAAATTAATGGGGGCTCCAAATCATTTTTCCTAACCTTGAGATTTTTTAAAAAACAATCACAGAGTCAGGAAAATAGGATTTTAAGCAGGGTTTGGAACCACCATTCAAGGGAAAATTCGTTACATATCATTCCCTGAAATCCGATGAAACAATAGTCCTGTAAAGCTGCATGACAAACGGGTCATTACTGAAGAGCTTTGTTGGCTTCTGGCTGCCACCACCAAACATCCCCATCGAAGTGTGAACTTCATGGATTGGTAGGGAAGCAAAGAATACTTTCAGCCGGTCATGAAGTTGGACCTAGGTGAAATGATAAATGTTTTTTTTTTTCCGGAAGCTGCATGATCAGTGGGAAAAGAACTGCGCTTTCATTGATGGCCCTTAACAGAGCAAAATAATACATTCAAGAAGCAAGACTCTGCAACGGATTCTCCAACATAAAGTGGCATCCCCGATAAACCGCCACCATCAGCAGAAGAGTTACCTGAGCCGTTGTTTTGCATGGCGTCTTTAAACACCATATCAAACTTACATACATTAGATATATAATTTGTGATCACGGTTGATCTTATGGATCTTATCTTTTTTGAACTATGTATGTGTTCAGTGCAAATACATCCAGCATCCCCATTCTTGTGCCACCGCCAACCTTTGGAGCCTGAAACAGCTGAGGTGGTTGCACGACTGATCATCAAGTTGGCAGCCTGCACGCTCGGAACATGCCTAGGCGTCGGTTGGGCGTGATTGAGAGGTCATCAACAAAGTCATGTTGGGTAAGGGACCCTGTAACAAAACATATAGGGCCCCCACATCCGCCCCATAGGGCTTGTTTTACTTCGTCCTGAAGTTCCACCTCAAATGTGCAGAACGATGCATGCCATGTATAATATACATGTCAAAAACATACAACACCTGAAGGTTCGATGTATTGTCAAAAGTGATGATTAATTGTACCAACCAAGTATCGATTTATCAGTGTCCACGTTCCACACACCGGCGCTGTGGACAAAAGCCCGCAAACAGCAAGGCACAGCACTGAAAGAAGGTGTTTGACGAATCCATGTGGTGTAAGGATGTCCTCAATCCAATTGACTCCCCCAATGAAAAGACTTGAATTCAACATAGTCACAGTCACAAGTATGGGCATATGCTGCTTTGAGAAGAGAACATGTTTCAATCATCATTGCCGAGACTCATCATCCTTGTTCAGGGCGATGTCAAGCCGAGCAACTTTGTGGCCGCGGCCTTTGAAGCCACGGGCCACTGACCCCTGCCCCGAAAAATGATCCACATTGTAGAAAGCATGGTCACCCTCCGGGATCTGGAAAGCCTGGGCGACAAAAAGGACCATGATAGCATGATTTGTTTACGGTACCTATCTTTTACTAATCGTTTAATATTGCATGCACGATGGGACATCTTGAGATTCTTTTCAAACCCAAGACACCTTCAACAGGAGATGAATGATTTGAAATAGACGAATTGGAAGTTTCCCCGGATGGACTGGACCACGGGGAGGTCGGGGAATTCGAATGGCCACATCACCACCATCGCCGTCCCTGAGTTTGAACAGCTGGTATATGAATCATACATTTATCTCTTGGAAGACCATGTGCATATATGCACCATCACAGTAAACCAATGAACTATAATGCCATGTTTCAATTCAGCAGGTGGTCGTTTCACCATCTTAGGAGCCATTTCTCATGAGGCTGTTTGGATGAGTGGCTGCAGCTGGAGCATGCTTACAGCGGAGGCCACTTACTGCAGCTGTCGTGGGTGCCGACAACTAAGTAACTGGAAATAATGTTAATATGTTGTAATCATGCACCAATTTTTCTGATCTCAAAATATCTCAAATCTTCTCAAGCTGTTTCACTAAGTAGGCTGGGCTGGACATAGTGTTGTAAACATGCAATCCTTTTTTTTTCTGATCTGAACTTGCAAGCTTTTTCACATGCCGCACTGCAGTTTAGAAACGCAGTTGGCATCCCCAAAGTAAGCATAATGGCCATAGGCTTTAGGATCGGAACACGGCATCAGCATGCTTTTACATGCCACCGCAGTCGCACGCCAAATGGTTACCCATGGCAAAATCATTCAGAAAACACACCTGCATGTTGTATTTGCAACTCTTCATACCATGCATCATATTAAATATATGAAAATGACAAATATTTATATGGCCCCGGGCATACCAAATGTCTAATGTGCGAACCCCCCAAAAATCCAGCCCAGGATCGGACATAGCTAAGAAACGCTCAAAGCCTGACTGCTGTGATGTGACCGAAGCACATTTTTTTTGGCACACCTTGCAAAGCTGATGATTTGAATTATTTCTTCATCACAGCAACGTGAGTAAGTCTCAGGTTTCTGACTCTTCTGCATTTGCAGACTCCTCAGTCTGATCACCAGCATCACCACCATCAGCCTTCGACTGCGGGGTTGCCACTTTGCGAGAAGCACGTGGCTTATCA